GATAAACGCACCTGGGGAAACCCAAATCCTTGACCACTGCCTTAACGTAAAATGCCCTGCCAACTGAGCTATCGTGGGCGCTTCTTCGCGCAAATGGACTTGAATTCTATGCTGATTCGTCACACGAAATAGGTTTAACAGTTGACGTCTCTCAGTGCCGATGGCGGTGCGGCGGACAGTTGAAGTTGCCCAAAGGATGGTATTGGTTTGAATTGATGTGATGATGAAGTGGGGATGAATTTTGGCGAGTCATGTGGCTTGTCGTTGCGCTTACAATCTGGTCCGTGAGTGGCGTCGCTTGATGCGTTCTTCAACGATGATTGATAGTCGTTTAGTAACGTGTTTGGCTTTACTTGAAACTGGTCAGTTAAAAACGGTTTGGTTGGCTGAATGACCATTGTGTGTAAAAACGAGATGTGGCAGTTTGTGCTAGATACAGAACCATGTGTTCCTCTCTGAAAAAAAGTTCGTTTCCGTGAATTCTTCCAAGATGCGCCATAAACTCGAATGTTTGTCCAATAGGGGGTAAAGAACGAGCAAAACCGAATGGGAAATAAGGATGGAATGGTTTGTTTAAAGCAGTAACCATGTTTGAATCAAAATATCGAGCACGGGATGTGATGTTTCACGTCGCGGAAACTCGAGCAGTTTGGTGCAAACGAACGAGTCACTGATCACCTATTCCAAAGTTCCTGCAGAGTAAAGTTGACCACTGTATAACTCGAAAAAATTCTTGAGCTAGATACACTCATTCGCATACCAGTTTGGTTTAACAGGAGACTTACATTGAACCTAGCCGAATCTTTCGTTTATGAAGTTTTTAAGCTGTCGAAGAGTTTCCAGCAGCCTTATGAGTAGTGTGTTACGTCTATGCATGTATCGCGATATCTCGAATACCGTACCAACTGAAACATGGGGCATCCTGGTGCAGCATATTCAGTTGCTTAGAAAACATTATTCAGCCTCGTTCCAGGTGAGTCTCCTGTCAAAACAAATCAGTATACGAATAAGTGTATTCCGCGAATTTCGCGCAATTTGGGTTCAAATGGAAGAGAAACACCTTCGCTATTCGGATGGCTATGGAAGAAACACGTCGGGCCTAGAAAAGTCTATGTTTTACCCCAACGTTTTTTGTGCAGTGAATTCTCTGACTTGTGAACTAGAATGAAGAGTAGTTTCTTTGTTTGCGCTAACTTGCAAGGTTCGGCTACTGGGTATACTGAGCCATTACTGATTATTCGTCTCCAGCTGTTATTGTTACCCCCCAGCTAACTTAATGCAACCCAAAGAGGATACATTTAAGCACAATCCTTGTAACCGAATTGATGTGGCTGGGATTATCCTTATCCCAGTGAGTTCGGTCAACTATGCTCATACGGCACAAAACCAGTTTGGACGAGCTAAGGAAGGAATGGTATAACATGGCAATTGTAGTAGTTCTGTACCATATCAGTGAAGTCACATAGCTACAAGATATTCTTGTCTGAGGTTTAGTGACTGATAAACTTTGGAAAGCATTTCAACATCCTGTCTGTCGGTACTTTGAGTCTACATACTTTAGACACTGATTCCTCACAGATATTGGGAGTTGTGTTCACAGGATTTGTTCTTGTGTTATGAACCTATTCTAAATCTATAGTACATAATGTGATTGTTCTCTAATTGCAGGTTTGTCACATACTCTCACGGTATTCGATGACTGAGGAGCAGTGTCCTACGTAACTAACAATGTTTTTAAACCGATAACGGATTGTCTTTAACTGGGTGCCAATTTTCAGTAGGTGTGTGTTAACATCATGCGTGGTGTTTTATATTTCATCAGTCAGAAAAAAACATTGTTAGACAAAAACCAAACGCCAGGGTTCTTGAAAGGCACTTTTCGACTACCATTTGATTAAAGGAGAATCTAAACTAATGTCCCTCACGCATAAGCCCGTGCTTACCGGACATCTAACGCTGTTTTCTTGACCTTTAAGAACCTCCAACCAACTGTCACGCGACCGATTTGATCACGTCAAGACGTGGCTCACGCTGGGTTGTTGTTCGAATTAGAAATAGCGGGAACTCAGTGCTAGTCAGATTCTCAAAGTGTTCCTGAAAGCCTCGGAACAATCACCTGGTCGCTCACGATCAGTCGGAGTCTCTAGCTAATTGGTCAAACTGACCAGCCCACCTTCGACCGAATATTTTTTCGTTGGTACTATACCGCAAGTGCGCTTCATGTTGTTGTTGCCACTTGTCATTTGCAACTATAAGCTTAACTGCACATAAAAGAAGGTATGTTGTTCATAGAGAAAACTACTCACAAGGTTGCTGAAAACTCTTCGGCAGCCCACGACGGGTTTCACCCTTCTTGGGGCGCATCAGGTAGGCGTAGTCCCCGAGTTTCCGTCAACCTTATGTTCTATTTGAACCTAAATTGGACTGTTTTCGAGAAATACACTCATTTGCAAATCAACTTGGTTTTCACGAGAGACTCAACTGAATCTCTCGTTTATGATATTCTACAACTGAATGTGCTGCACGCAGGCCGCTTCATGATCCAGTTGGCACGATATTCGAGATATCGCAGTATAGTTTCATAAAGGAAACTACTCACAAGAGTGATGGAATCTCTTCGATAGCCCACATCCGGTTTCGCCCTTCTTGGGGCTCATCAGGTAGGCGCAGTCCCTGAGCTTCCTTCAATCTTATGTTCTACCTGAACCAGTTCAGCTGACTCCCGTAAAAACCACATTGATTGAATGAGTGTATTTCTCAAGGATAAGTTATTTTTTCATGATTCTGGAACGGTTCAAGATCTCTGAGTGGCTAAAATGCGAAGCTACTGGCCAGAAAGTCCTTAGCTCGAACCCAATGCCTGCTTCCCTATTGACCCTGTCCGAAATTAAACACTGAGCTTTTCAGCCCTCATTATTCTTTTGGATTGTACGGAAACTATGCACTGAAAAGCTGCCACAGATGACAGTTATATTACTGGTAGAACAATCAGGTTTAATCACTCCTGTTTGAAAAGGTTCACTCACTTGAAGCTGTTTTATGAACAGGTGGTGTAGACAGAAAAGATAACATGACAAAAGTAGTGCACTTACACACATGTGCTTCAAACTAGGTGGGGGTTTGGTCGACAGTCAAGCACATGGTCACAAACGGAGACTAAATCTCAAGCGGCTTCACGAACTTTTCATGTGACACTGCCACCGGTGCCCGGAATGTCGTACAGCGTTTGGCAATGATGACACAACGTAGAGTATCTTTACACATTTTTTCCAAATCCCATTGTAGTAGGCCATTCGGCAGTTTGGATCACGAGCACATCTGAAAAAGGATAATTATAGGGCAGCATGGGTTAGTGGTATTCGTGAAAGTATAATGGTGCTATTTTATTTACTTGTAATGAATTTGGAATTCGGTTGAAACTGTTTGAAACTGGCCAATCGGAACAGAGACCATCGAGGTTTATTGTTTCCTAATTTGAATACCATCTCGTGTTATTAGTGCAGGCCCGTTGCAGGTGAGGTCCCAATCCAGAACATTTCATCGATCCATTTATGTTGTCCACCAACACTTTCCTTGAACTGGTGAAACAATTGCACTTGTTTTTTTCGATTACCGCTCACTTGGTCAACTAATAATGGCCCAAGTATTCATTGTCAGCGCACAAAAACTGTATTTTTTTAAAGTAAAATAATAGCTGGCCTGATGGCTAACTGCATCTTGAAGTAAACGGTCACCGTAATTCACGAAAGATATTCACCGTTCTCATAAACCAATACTCGCTCAGTAGGCCGAATATATGAACGGATAGAAATGAGTTACGTAATGGTGGTCGTTGGCTTGTTCGCTGAGCTGGGCAATTTGATTGCAATCAAATTGATGCCATCAAATTGCCCAGCTCAGCGAACAAGCCAACGACCACCATCTACGATACCTGAGCTACCAACATTTTCCTCTATAGAGTTGCGTAATGTTTAAAGATGTGAAGATGAACTGAGGCTAATCGGTTTTCAGGAGGACTGGTAGCGTGAGCAAACGAGCATACTGGCTGGAAGTTGTACTTGTTCGGGAATACAGTCCACTTAATGGTAGCCGTAATTTAACGAGCAAACAAACGATATAAGCACTGCTTTAAAAGGGTAAGAAAAGCACATTTATGGGAAAAGACCTCGAACATGTTACTAGTAAATCCAGGTAATGATAGCAATTGTATTTCAGCAAATTCTTCATGAACAATGAGTTTTCCAGGGACTTTACGCTTGACCCATCCTGTCGACCGTCTAAACCGGTAAGCACCGAGTGAAGTGGCTATCGGCTGACAAATGATGTGGTGAACTGTTTTCACAGTAGCAGGAAATCGTTCTCGATTCAAGGAAAGAGCACCAACCAGTATCAAGCAACGGCAAGCCCTTAAACGAAATATCGATTTATTAGGTTTAAACTCTCTTGCAATAGACAGTTGTTGTTGGACGGGTGATATGGCTACGGTTTGAAGTTGTGTAAGGTGGAGCTAACACAATTCAGTACGGTAAGAGTTTGGGGTCGCTCATTTGTAGTCAGGTGTTTTTTTTATGGAAGCTACTACCAATCGTCCAAGGCGTGGTTCTGTGGGAACCAGTCTAAAAATGTTAGGCAAAACGTCTGACCCTCCAGGCGCACCTGACGCGTCCGAAAGAGAACGAAAGGTCTTGTGTGGTTGAGTTGTTAGGTATACGAACCTACTCTCTTTTGGCTTCACTGCAAAATTAGTGTAAACCTGACATGATACGTGTGATGGATCCATTAGATCAACGACCTTTTTTATTGGAATATTTGACTGGACTGTTTCCGGATTAGATAGGAGGAACAGAGCACTCCAGTGTGAGTGATGCTTGTGTTTTTCCATTATAGTGAGTTAAGGATGCAGCAAGAGGCCACTAAGTCCCGCTATTGCTAATGGAAACTTGAGGGCTTTCGAATAACAGCACGTAAGTATCAACGTCTTACCGAAAAATACAAATCACTTCACTTTCTTCATCGAAAAACTCATAACATGGCAATGGTACTCCCACATCCTCTTGTAGGTCACCACCAGGAAATGTCGTCGAACACGAGTGAAACAGCATCAAATCCAGAATCCGGCCAACCGGGAAGGTGTCAACCATTTCACAAACTGTGAACTCCGGTTTTGGACCGTTTGTACCAAAGAAGGTATCAGCATATAGCAACTTCGAACCCAAGTGAACTTTCGCGATCCAGTATCGCTTTCCACGGATACGGTCACTAGTACGTAGCTTCACTCTGAGGGAAACATCAGGCGCATGAAACGTTGAATTGAAATATCTTGGGTCGGTATCCGACCAAGCTGCGTCCGGAAGCCTATTATACTCGTCCATTGTGTGTAAGCTAGTCCACAGTGTAATGTTTGGTGCGCTAAAAAGCTGAACTGCTTGGGAAAGGTGTCTGCCAACAAGGAATGTGACCGGATCGCCCGGGAGACCAGTAGATGCGCATTGCTGATGTGCTTCACAGACCGTCTTGGCATGCTGCTTGATTTGAAAGCATGGACCATTAGTCCCCGAGGATATGAAGTCATTAGGACAAGTGTGAACATTGGTGGAACGCACATGCATAAAAAACAGCCAGATGTGCGAAAAGTGGGCAAACAAGCTCAACCACATTTTATGTTCCTCTGCTTTCTATTTGTCTCAGATAGTTTCTTTTATACGGTTCACGTTAAAAATATACCCAGAGATGGGAGGGAGAGGTGGATTTTCAGCACGGAAGGGAAGCTAACGAACAAAGAAAAACAATAGAGATGTCCGTGGTACACCTATAGCTCACTATTAGAAACTGAGCTTTTGTACCATCTGAGTAGGCACGAATCTCTTTCAAACCTGGCAAGACCTTGGACATAACAGTTGAGATCTCACTTTTGGACGTGTATCTCGTCTCAGTAAAACAAATACGTCTTACGAAACAGGGTATTGTTTGCTCTTACCCTAACAATGAAAAGTTGCAAAGCAGAATATTTGGAGAAACTGAAATAAGTAGACTAAACTTTAAGAATAGAGTGGCAAATGTAGCAACCAAACATTGTGTGGGTCTTAGTGCAGACAACAGTCACTGGATGCGGGTATAGAAGAGTGAGCTCGCACTATGAATTTGTACGCATGCAGATGCGACGGACTCGAGATCTCTTGCAAAACACGGGACGAGGCAATAAAATCTTGAACAATCAGAAACAATTGTGCCCACCAAACATTTAAGTTTCATCCGGGTGGGCAGTGGAGTGTCGTCAAACAATTGCCGTCCACTAGGTGATGTAGTTCCATGTCTTTGAACCAAGTTTTACATCCGCTTGGGGTGGTAAAGTATTCCGCACGTTTTTTCTGACTGATTCGGTTGAACTGATTGCAACGTCTGAACCATTCACTAAACTGCCAGAGCTCATATGTCGATGTTCCCGCCAAGGAGCCTGGAATTTCACAACAAAAATGAGGCCCCTTATCTATAAGTGAATAGGGAGTTGAGGCAGCTAAGCAAGCTGAAACGATCAGTCTTTTGAGTGCTGGCGTAACCCACACTGTAAACGCCGAACACTACGCGTCTCAGCAATATCCGAGGCGCTAGCACAGTTTTCTGTCCACCCAACCCGCGAATTACATCTCCCGGAGGCTATGCACATGCACGCAGTTACCTCAGGCATGGACACCATTGCGCGCTGCTATCTCAGGAATGTGAGTCCGCGACAGACGGGAACCCAATACTCAGGTGGCTCGGGTACGATGATTAGCTGTTGCAGTGTGTCGGGTAATTCAGATTGCACGAGTGTGATCGTAGGAATGTGGCACAGACAGACCGCCTAACCTGGGCCAAATGGTGTGTTGACCGAGCCACCAGCGCTACCAGACAGCCAGACTTGGCGAAGCTAGGCATATCAAGCAACTGATCGATAGCTTCCCGCAGACTACGGTCAGTCAGCGTGCGACAGCGGAAAACGAACTTTCTCGTGGTGCTGGGAGGAAGGAGACTTTCTGTTTGATCTGCAAACGTTGCTGACAGCGTGAATTAGACAGTCCAGCTGACTGCATGTTTAGCGTCGACCTCCAGTTGACCTGCAACTTCCTTGAACAACAAACGGAAGCGTTTCATTCAACATATGACGACATACTTTTGGTAGGAAATTTTTATGCTCCTTCAGACTACGTCAAATTCGGTCCACTACCCTCAAAGAATAATAGGTATTTATCGTTAAAAATAGTCAAGACTCAAGTTTTCGACTGAAATCCTGCAAATGGTTAATTTCTCTCACAAGATATTTGTAATTTAGCAGAAAATGCGAAATGCGAGGGACCGAGCGACAATATTTTAATCCTATTCCCCTCTGTCTCTAACCGATGCGTATGGCTTGGTTGCACCATCAGACGCAGAATTTGGGCGTTTACTGGAAACGGGACCACACCTGTCTAAGAAGCATTGATAGTTTTCTAATATCCGTCAGAATGTTGATTCTGTCCACTGAAGAGGCTATTGGCACAGGGAATCGTCAGCCTGACATTTATATCCACCAATGATTCATACGGACGCTGGCGCTCATGTGCCCGACTAGTCAAGGAATGCGGTCACATGACCGTTGTCCGCGTGTTGTTTTTTAACCAGTCATGAGTTGCCTCTTGACCACTGAATTTCATCCTGAAAGAAAACTATTTCATCTTGTAGCTTTTATTGTTCGCAACATTTCCGTCCGATCCTAAGTAATAGTTATCGATCCGTGTTGTTTTCAAAAAAAGAACGAAATTTTGTTCAACTAACTGCGGTCATCTTCATCCGATTCAGTGGCGCGGACGTAAACTTTGAGTGTCAACATCCCTTATTGTTACCGTACCGTGAATAGACACGATTCGATAACGGACGACACCAGGATTATTTGAATAAATGAAACATGGGGAAAACATATGGGGGAAGGCTTCAATACTTGAATCTGTTTTCACTTGATAGGCTGAACATGCGATGGGTGGTCAGAACTTTTGTGGTCGTCAACAGCTACACAAATATAAACCCCATCTGTGTAGTTCTTTTAGTGTCAAATCAACTTTCGGGGGATGGGACTGGACACCGATTCGAAGGAGTACGAGATGCGGTTACCAACCGCCGTTCTTCCCTTCACAAGTGATCACTCACCAAATTGGGATAGGTTGGCCGTGTACTCAGATTTGGGGCTGTTGTCCACTCCCGAAGCTAGTGTTTTATGCATTCCGACATAAGCTTAAGCGGATAATCGACGGGAAAATTCCTCTTCCGCGAAAACCCCCCTCTCTTCTCAAGGCAAGAGAAACTATCTTGTTTCCTGGTCAAAGTTTTTATTGTATTAGACATATTACGCAAAAAATTTCCAGCATACTCACAAAGAGAAACTAACTGGTGTTTCGTCAAAGAATAGTCAGAGGCACATTTCCATGAGATCACTGATCCTCAAACTACAGGCAGAAACTGAGTAAGCAAATCGATGTACGGAACTTGCCATCGGTTGCTGTCCGTGTGCAGCAACAAATCTGAAAATTACCAAAGCGAATTCAGTCTTTGTCGCAAGGTATTAAGAAGGACAGATTTTAGACTTCTCGTTGCAGAGCAATGAAAAGATTAGAGAAGCCTAGAAATAATATACTTCTGTGGGATACGAATGCCCCCAGACTGACAGTTCTCATCCACCTTTATACATCCGTTCAAAGTAGAATGGGTTGAATCGAAGTCTTGTATACTCTACCAATGACACAATCTGACAGCACATCGGCTCAACAAATGTTGGATGTCTGAAGAAGCCGCGTTGATCTTCCCAATTCGAGATGTGATTTCGACTTTCATCAGTCCGCCGGTAATTACGCAGCGAAGTTCAAACCCCCGCACGGCCAAGGACGTTCACTGCCTGGCGGGTCCAGTGCTTCCCACTTGGTATGGACTCACCAGAATGATTGCGTCAGGATACGAGGACAACTGTTTGAACGAGTAGGATGCGTGTATGAACATTAGCGAAGTTATCTACCACATGTACAAGTATGAATTTTGGGTTTAACCGCGCCACCTTTCAGCAGCAGCTTACACAGGATAGGTCTGAAGTGCATACCGAATCATGCAGCGCAATTACTAAGATTATTCACAATAGTTTGAATTTCTAAAGGGTCCTATCAGAAAACAGCAGTATTGTTCGCGTATTCGGTTTTCGTGAGCTAGCGCCCGAGGGTATTTTGATCCCCGAAATTTTCTATGCAGATAAAGAAGACATTTATTACGGAGTTACAGAGAAAGATCGAAGAGCAGCACCCCTAACTGACGCTACTGCATATGATGAAATGCGAAGGAAATTTGCCGCTGACAGGTGGGCGTCTACGGAAGGAGGTATGTAGAGGTTTCGTGAGTTGTAAGAATTCAGAAATAGCAACTATAATTGTCAGGCACTATCACAATTTTCGATGATCAACAGGGAAAAAACATAGCATCGAAATCCAGAAAATAACCTCTGATGGTCTTCCGAGGGAGCGGTAAAGTGAATGCACCGTCTACGGTGGAACTCAGGTTGATCCTCGCGTACCTAACTCTCCTGATTGCGGATCAACCTTCATAGGGGAATGAAAGAAAGCACTCTGGAAGTTGTGGCCACTGGACTCATGCGTTGGTTGTTTTTACACGGCGTTTCTGCACATGTTTCGGATGTTCGAATCAACGCCAAGGTGCCCCATTCTGTCGATATTCTGTTTTCATTCAAAGTAGTTTGGGTTAAAATCAGTAGGTTACCACGAGGAACTCGCCACCGTTTTGAAGAGCGCAAAATCTGAACCGTCTGAACCAGGTGCTTTGTTCCGCTGAATCAATAAAACTGTTATCCGTGGGGTTATTTCGAATAGGATGGTGTCCCACTTGCCTGAAACCAGCAGCAGCATCCTCGCTACCCGTTGGTTCTAACTACTACTTGGCCATAGACAGTAGTGGGAAACGAACAACAAAGTTAGCCAATATCAACCTTTAACTGTTTGTTTGTTCAGCGAACGAACGGCGTGTGAGTAAATCGCACGGGAAAATCACAATCTATTCATACTGAACTGGTTTTCTGTGGCACAGTTGAATTAGGCTTTTTGATACCAGGATTGTTCCAAACAGGGAAATCGTGGACGTGCAGTGATACTTGATGCGTGGGAAAACTCTCACATGATCTATCAGGAGGTAGGCGAAAGCGACGCGAATTAGCGGTAAAAAGCAAAATAAATGTATTAGAAAGTCAAGGATTTTTTAAAACTTGGCACATTTTCAGCATACAAGCGGATCACCTCGGCGTTTTGTGCACCCGTCATCAAAACAGATATTACGTTGAACCAGCAAGTGTGTTGAAAGCCTAGATAGGTTAACTTAAACAGGAACGAATAAAAAGCAAGCACTGGCATATACAGGATAGCGTTCGTTTACTACAGTCACTGTGGTGCACGTGTGAACAGTCCGATTAATGAAGCGGGTCATGAACACCAAAACAAATGAATGTTTCTTGCACTAGGCAAGCAACATTTGTTGGTAACGGGTGAAATGCAGTGTCACTCCGTGTCCACCGTATGTATTCACGTCCAAAATTAACTGGCCATTTGGAAATTACGTCAATCTCTGATAAGCTCAAACAGATTCAAACGAGAGATTGACGATCCTTCGAATGATCAAAACGAAGTATTGTGATTGTGATCGCAATAATGCCTGATATAAAATTGGCTTTGATTGGAGCTGCTGTGATCCGGAAACTGGAAATGGCTTGAATCCGACAGCTCACTGGCAGTGATGCACTATAGAGTGATTCCACCAGGAAGACCAAGTCTTGAATGTGCTAGTGCTCACCGCGCCTTGAAGAGCATTCACCATTTTTTGTCCTTTCTTCGGTTGTTGGTCTTTGGGCGAAATACCGAAATTTTTACATACGTTCGGATTCATCCAATCTGACTGGAACTGTTGGTGGCATGAATTCGAATGAGACGTTTCTCTCTTTTACCTCATATTCTCCTGTTACCCTTTCGCATTCGTCGCTTGCATTGACTTTTTGTTTGTGACCAAAAATAAATGACAAATTAGTAGTTTTGCACATTAAACAAAATAGATATTTGGATAGAAGCTTTGATGAGGTCCATGTTTTTTGGACTAACCAAAAGTTGTAATGTATTGCCCTGACCCACTTGCGTCCATGTTTTGTTCACATCCGATAGATGGAATCCACAATAAGGCAGTGGCTCGTTGCTGTCTAGGCTGTCCTGAACTCCTACGAAGTACCCACGTTGTTTGTTTACATAGATTATAAAGTGGAAACATCCGACTTTCAAGTCAACTCATAAACAACAGATTACTCCTTACAACTCTGAGCGCCTGTGGTCTAATAGTATTCAGAACAGTAACCTCGACTCCAGGTCGGTCTTACGAATTTGCTTCTGTTCAAACCGTTGTTGATGTCTGCATTGGAGTTTTGTCTCCCTCAATGACGAAGAACACAACATCAATTCAGGAAACAATCGCATTCCTAGTCGCCGCAGTGGATAAACAACTCGCGAAAATGAATAAATATTGCAGGACATTTCCTTAACTGTTTACAAGTTGCAGTTATCATTAACCAGCCAACCAACCATCGAAGCCATGATAATTACTACTTAATTTTAAGTTTTCTTGTCACCAAGGCAACTAGTACAGCACGATTCCGAGTGGCGTATATAGTGTCAATATGTTGGTCGGTTCTGGAGCTAACCGCGAAACCGAGTGGATGACCGTAAATGGTTTCGCGACAGGTGTTTGAACTGGTCTGCATTCTTGTTTGTTGGGTCCATGGCCAAGATAATAAGACCCATCTATTTTGGCATGAAAACCAAACTGCGGACTTTTGCGATGCAAACAAAATGTGCACTCTTCACGATACGGATAGCCAAGTGAACTTTCTGGTTGGCAAGAATGCGTTGGACATTGGGAGTATAGACCTGGGTACTGGAAAAGCATGGACAAGCATCCACAACTTCGCGCCCAATAACACCTTTCGTTCGTCAGGCTGGTATGATGCAGATCCACGAACGAACGAGCCCCTGAGCGTGGAAATGCTTAAATGGGAAAGACGACCAAAGACAACGGCTACACCTGTGGCTCTTGCGCTTATGTTTGCAGTCAGGCTACAAGGCAGTGGCACTGTCCGAGAGCAGAGTGTTTCTGTGGTGTGTGAAGGATTTTCGACACGGGATACAAATGTCCTTCAGGTCAAATTTAAAGACTGTTGGGATAAAGAACCAGAAATGACATATGCAACAGATTCAATCCCTGCGGCATGTTATGACGAAACAAAAACAACAACAACAACTGTGCAGTGCGTAAAAAGGTGAGCTAGAATAGCTAGGTTGGGTTTACCAATAGAACTAGGAATGTGTGTAACTGTGTAGGTAGATATTAATTGAGTTGAGCAAGCAGTACACCAACAGTCTTAGTTTGTACAATAATGTGTACTCGGGAAATTTTTTGGGTTCAATTCCTTGATAACTAACTCACGCAAAATAGAGTTGCTTTCTGTTGGATGGTAAGGCAATCGGTCCCTCGTGAGTAGTAAGGTCGGCAACTTTCGCAACACAGAAATGAGTAGAATTTTGGTTAGTTGTCTATAAAGCTGCTTAACCTTTGGTGAATTTCCTCAACTTAAAGTGTCCGTACTATCAGTACTTAGATCCCCAGTCCCTACCTACACCCCGAGTCTGCAGTGCTCGAGACAAGTCCAGGTTTTTGCGGCTGAAACTTGGTCCACACACTATTTGATAGCAACTCTAAAATCTACTGAAAAACTAAGCCGGACTAGAAAAAGGGATGAATCTCGTGAAGTCCTCAGGACTTAGGCATACAAGTAAGCAGTTAAAGGAGAGGCCTGGTAACCTGCAAGCTAGTGGACCAGCATTTTGAACTTCACATATAAAAAGTACAGTCTTACCAGGCCACAGAATTAACCGGAGTTAGTTTTGGTATCATGGTTGATGGAGAAGATGATTGTCTGGCACACGGACGCATCTACAAGGAAGTTGTAATTTACTAAACCCCATCTTCATCAGTCATCATGCTCCTTTTGGAAAGCATTCAAACTTCTCTTCATTTTTGAGACTAGCCACTGACGCCGTTATTCGTTACTGTCATTTTAGCGGCTTTTTCTAATAAGAACAGGATCGAAGTTCACAGTCACATGGATATGACATTATGTTCAAGAAGAAGTATATTACTACACTCAGTACAACCGAGTACTTGACTCATAGGCGAATTTGGACGCCAAATTCATCCAGTTGACCTGAATGAAGCAGCCAGCCGAAAACAGCTTCTTTAAAATTGAATGCCATATGTTGCGTTATGATCTGGCTCTTGTTCACTAATTTAACTGTAGAAGAAAAGGTGTGTGAGTATGGAAGCAGTGATCCATCAATCCAGGAAGAAGAAAAATCGAGCGCTCAAGTTAGACAAAGAAGTGTAAGGGGCAACAACCGGGGTTGTTCTGCCGAAAGGTTTTGCCAAGTGGTTTAGTTCTAGCGAAATACACTCATTTGCAAACTAATTTGGTTTTGCAAGAGACTCACCTGGAACCCAGCTGAGTCTCTCGTTTGTGATGTTTCCAGGTTTAGTTCTGTTTTCTACGCGACTCGCCGAGTCTTATCGGGACAGAAGACAGTAAAACTGTTTGGAGATTTAGAGACCCCCTACTCTAATTTTTAGTAACCTAGCCAAAAAGTGCAGACAGAAAATAGAAGCTATCCGATCTCCCTCAACTCGTCTGTTGGTGCAGATACAGTGCATTCTCGTTATGAATCTGACCTCTGCTTTCCTAAAAATGGCAACGAGTAGATCGCATTCCAATGAAGCCGGGTATCAGCCATACCCTTAATCACTAAAGTGAATTTATTTCTTGACAGTATTTTTTCTTTTGCATTTACTCCGGTCTGAAGAATCCAGTTATCCTTTTCAAAATGACTGTCGGTTAGCACTACATTCATATAATTGAAAAACTAACAATTTATGCAGCTCATTCTACTTTCACTAACCCTGACTACTGGACTGATTCAGTCATCCGTTGTCCTATTTAGCAACCCCAGAGAATCAACAGATACCCAGTGAGAAATCTCCCAATTGTTTTCACTGCTGCTAGCGTTCAGACGAATTTTTTATCCGTGAGGAATGATTCTACAAATGCCGATCGAGTCGCGAAATATTTACTCATTGATTGCATGATCATTAGACTTTTAGAACCCTGTAATGTGCGCTCGTAACGCCTTGATCAACTAAGTGAGTGCAATGCGGGTTCGCCGATAGACACACTTCTCCCCTTCCCCACGTCAAAAATGTCTCCACCGACTGACTAAGTTCTGTCAACATGGGCTTACCCACGCGTGTAGCAGCATATTTCTGAATCTCTAAGGCTGTATGTATCAGGCTTCACTCCAAGTTTTTTGTTGTACGGCTGTGAAACTTGGCCTGTACGAGCAGGTCGATTGAGACGTAATCTTCAACAACCGCTATCTATAGATCACGGCTTGTATAGGGATCGGAGCACTTCGAAGACGACTGTTCGGTTGTGCAAAGGTCGAAGAATGTATGAATCCCCAAAACCGCGGTGATTAGGCCGTTTGGCGAAAAGAATGCTGCCTGCCGTATCCGATTCAAAGTGGCACAAGCAAGGAGGTCGTTAGACTTTGACCTGACATGGGAAAATGATTACAAATTGTCTGGATACTATAATTCCGACTAGCCATCCAGGATGAGATCCGCGTGATCTTCTTTGTGCCTGGTTGGAGACGTTGTGAAATATGGTTGCTAATCCATGTCAGTAATGTTCCTGTTGTTATTTTCTATCCCGATTGCCTGAATGAATGTCTGGAGATGGAGGCATCAGGGAATGGTTTTGGTAGGCTGGCGCCGAGTCCCTTCTTCATCCACTTCCATTATTTTTTTCATAAGCTGATATTGGTCGTATGGCAGTAGAGCACCAATGTTGAACACTGATCACATGCTATCGATGATGATAGACAGTGGCTGAAGAATATTGGGACAGAGTGAAAATTATGAACGGTGTATTTAAAATCATGCGTGGCAGAGTGCTAAGGTACGACGTTGCAGTTTATTTCTGCATTATTTGCCAAGTAGCAATAAAAACTTCCAAGGCGACAAATTTATCAGTAATATTCGCCACAATCTGTCAACGGCGATACGTGTGTGAAACCATGACCCAGAGTCTTGGTTACGATCAGGGCCAACATAAAAAACGCCCATTGGTCACTCGGTTACTAGTCAGCACAAATTCTTCCCGGAAAGCTTCTGTTCTGTAGCTAGGGTGATCTGACAATACGCCATCACGAATCCCAGTGGCGCAAAGAAGGGCAATGTTCCAGCCATACTTTTGCAGAAGTACCTGGAAACCTATGGATCGATCGGCAACCAAAGTCATGTCATGTCTCGTTGCTACGCATTGTCCCCCATTGGATGAATTTTCACCGGAGCACCATTTGGGGCCGAATTTAGTCTAATCAGATAGTTACCATGACCCGGTCATCCTCGAATTACTGTGTCACCTCAGATGTATCTGCGGACGGGAAAAACCCTGAAGACTGGTTGGTGTAGCTTGAGGCTGACACAGACTGCTCTCTGGTTAACCAAACAGCGGCCTATTACTATCCGTGCTTGGTTTCACTCAGAATAACGCTAGGCAAACTCAACAGAAAAGCTTCGGTCCTAATATAACTAGGCACTCAGCGCCACGCTGAACGTCGCTGACGTTCTGCTGAAACTTTCAGCGAATCAGCTTTAAATAAGTTAGAAAACAGAAACTGCACCAACTAGAATTTCGACGCCTTCCACGCAGAGCTCAGAATGCTGACGCTCATCGTGAACTAGGCGTTCCACAGGACGACGATGTTAGCAAACTGAATGACAACCTCCTCGTACCGGCATCTGTAAATACAGACGCCATTCCTAGCATGGCCGATTGAAACTAAGCTGGAAACTTACTGATTATCATCTTTGGTAGTCGAATTACAAGCAGGCAGCCAATTTCACAGCTAACCAACTGTTACTGATGTACAAGTGATAAACAGACCAACCTACTTGTGAGTTTGGCAGTAGCGTGAAGGACCACACATGAACGCCATTTGTTCAAAAGCCCAGCAATTAATAATTACTACAGCTGAGGTCACACGTCAGAAATTGGAATAGTTCAATAACTCTTGTCCATTATTAATTAATGTGCCGAAACAAACCAGTTTTTATTTGGATCGTGAATTCTTCACATTTTCCACCACCTGCCAAAATGAGAACCGGTGAGCAAGGGAATGCTGCAAAATCGGCAGCGTTCTCCACGTTTTTCATCAGTTCACGTAAGCTCACTCAGGTTTGTCATTTCTGACATCCTTCGGAAGAAATAAAAATACCGGAAGGTTGGATTGACTGGATTTGATGGTTTCAGACGAATTTAGAGAATGGTGCAAGTGCAAAAGAAACTGAATAAAAAACAAAACATTCACAACAATCTGCTTTCGGCCTAGAAAATAGCATGACATAGAATGATACTATTATTTAAAGTACGATATCAAAACTCTATTGACATTCGTGCGATGATTTCAGGTTGGTTTCCAGCGCATCCCATCTTAACAATAACGTGATGTTTCCTCAAAAGCGCTGCCACAAAAGAACGGCAGCCTTATAAACTGCATGAGTTTGACAGAGTTTCCTATTGAGTAGATGGAAACAGTGTATGAAACAAGATGAATGTATCGACAGTCTCTCATTTGTATAATCTATAAATTACCAATGACCATTGCGACAATGGTTCATTTGATTGGTTTTCTGTATTGGTTGTATGCGGCCTTCTAACATAATTATAACTGAAGGAAAATTTGAAAAAAAGAACTCATCGATGTGAAGAACACAGATTTGTTAGTTAGATGCACATTAGTAACTGCTACCCGCTGGCTTGTTGAACCGTTCCCGATAAAAAAATTGCACGAAATTCGGTACCTTCATTCACAATGTGGAGAAAAGTGAATGACGTAGGTGTTTCTCACCCAGTCAGTCTTAGAGATTTCAAGCACAGAGATAAATTAGAAGTACCTTTTTCAACATTGTCTCACGAACACAACAAAAACCGGAAAACTGCCTTTCAAAAAAAGCCGGCAAGCTTAGTTCACTACTGTGTCCATGATTACTCAAAGGTTAATTTTTGAAAAATTAACGGCCTACGTCACACGTTAAGGGTCCACCTATAAATCTAAGTCTAGACAATTCTCGATTGTACCGGATCTATTTTGTTGGTGCATTTGACATTGCTGGACAATTCCTGTCTGTTTTCGATGAAGACAAAGGAGGGTCATGAAGTAAGGGGGAATCCCGGTCTTGACTCAACTCAGTGGTCAAAGTAGCCTATACTTCTCGCGTCATTTATCAGCTCCACAACAAACCTCAAACTGTCGCTGATACACCCAGGAAGGCTCGAGAACGGGAGATGGCGGATTTCGGTCGCGTGCATGGAAAGTGTATGTGAATCATTGGAGATGTTAGTCGGACCCTATTTCTCCTCGTTCATCCATAAGGAGCGAGAAAAGAAGTGAATAAGAGGAGGGAATCAACAATTCAGTGAAGAGAAGACTGGTCAGGGACTTTCTGTAATATAACAATACAGAACAGGGCTCCATGACGTGCGTATAACTGTGGATGTCATTATGACTAGGTCTTTTGGACGTCAGTTTTTCACAGAAGTGGAAAACCGCGGGTGTATATCCAAGATACACGCACCAATCATTGAGGCAAGACAGGTCAATAATGGGTTTGAGTGAGTTGCTTTATTTAGACAGCAGATGCTTTTGTAAAGTCAAGGGAAATGAGCAATACGGAAGATGCAGTCCAATGGGGCTTAGTGGTTAGTCTGATTTCGCTACTTCAACTCTCTGAGATAGAATATTCCCACAGTTTCAGAGAGAGCAAAGTGATCAACACTAGAGCTCCTGGGATTTCGTACTTATCCAATGATCAAAATAGAGACTAACAATGAAACAAATCCCTAAAATCGTTTAGGGAACACAGACAACTGGTTGTCGATGAAATGCAAATATCATCTAATTGGATGGTTGAAGGTGGCTAAGGGGCCGATCGATGATTGTCAAATGATCATTGTTCGCCCCACGCAAGAAGTCGGATTTTGAGTAATATCACCCGTATCCAAACGTTGCAGTGGAATCTTGAACCCGGCTGTTTCCTGCGTATGATGGTGTAGAATGTCAGTGTTTATGACTATAACAGGCCCCATCGTGTCTCCGGGTCCAGTAATTTTATGAACTCATGGCTTTGTTATGTATTTCCGGTTTCTGACCTGATTTCAAGTAGTGTAATAAATCACAATGCATGTGGCGACCTTTGGATAATCAGAAAAGATGCGAGGCACTCCCGTCGAAATCGCTGTCCGTAACCGAAGAACTCGAACTGAAAATTGTCATGAAAAACCTTATATTCATGGAACAATTTACGTAGTCGTCATGAAGACCACCAATTGTTCAACAAACAATTCGGATGAGTAGCGCATTGCAAAAATATATATATGTATCGCGATATCTCGAACATCGTAGCGACTGAAACGTGAGGCGACCTGGTGCAGCACATTCAGTTGCCTGAGAACATCATAAACGAGAGATTCAGCTGGGTTCCAGGTGAGTCTCTCGAAAAAAACAAATTAGTTTGCAAATGAGTGTATATTCGCTAATTTTGTGCAATTTGGTTTCAAGAACATAAGGTTGACGGAAACCCGGTGACTGCGCCTACCTGATGAGCCCCAAGAAGGGCGAAACCGCTCGTGGGTTGTCGACTAGTTTTCAGCAGTCTTATGAGTAGTGCATTACAAAGATTCAGAAACAAATTCCATCGGTATCATTTCCCATAGGACCGACTTCCCATGCAACACAACTGGGCGCGATGGCGGAATTCGTACGGTATGGAATAAATTTATGTATATCCCGTTTTGCTATAAGATCCTTCTGTGGAACAGTGCATATCGAAAGATATTATCCAAGCATACGATGTGTCAAAAGTCTATAAACCGTGGCTGCTGAAAGTTCCATCCGATCGACCTAACTAGATAGAAAGGTACCTCAATTCTAACGTCGGTCGAGATCAGGTGAACGTTAAATCGTATACTATGGTTCAGAAAAAAAGTGCCGGTGACGTAACGTTTGCGACAAAATTACCAAGTTCGGTAATCCATTCCACCGTCATGATGATGTGCGACGTAGACTTTTGAGGTTAGGCGAAACTCGAACAACCTTGACAGCCTATCGCATGAGGCTAAGTGTGTTCAGTAGCATTACACGAATGCTAGGATTCCCGGTCACCAAATTAGTAGAATGAGTACAATGATATGTCCTGTTTCACCTCCTCACACAGATGCGCACACGATGTCCATTGTCGCTCAGTGTATTACAGTCAAAAAGGTGGCAGATGCGTCGCCGTTCTGTACGTCCACGCCTACCTTCCGTTACGGCATCGAAGGAATGCGAAACGCTGGACCTGTTTTCGAAAAAGTGCCGGAACACTCTAACAGCACACGGACAAGTGGCAGCATTATCCCGGAATTCAAATGTTTACCATCTGTTTTTATAAAGTCTGTTCATTAACCTAGATTGGACTTTGACACTCAACCAGCCCTCAAGCAGAAGGATAAGCCTAGTTAGCCTTAATTTGGGCTCGAGGGATGATCATTCTTTTTGGGTGTGAGGAAAAATTTAAAATAATCGTTCAGCTGTAGCACCCTTTCGGCGCCTAGCTGCCATGCCACACGAATGAGGCCTAGACAGGAGAAGTCGAGAGGCAGAGGTCGGGTTCGAAAAACGGTCGGGTGGGTCAATAAATTCGCGCTCTAACCACTTGGTCCATCTCGTGTGTGGGATCTCTTGGCCAATCAGTAAAGCAAATAATGAAGGAAAGACCTTAGTTTCCGATAATGATAATAATAAGATGGGGCACTGAATCTAGTTCAATATTGCTCGATCAGCTGTGTTATACTACAGCCCTTTTTGTATGAACCCCTCCCCCTCCAACCCGGAAACCTCCACCATGCCACGATTGCTCTGTTTTGGAAGTCATTGCCCTGTAGACGACATCTCACGCTGGAGTTAATCTGCCTGACCGAATTGTAAATATATGTACTTTCATCAACATTACTGCTTAATGGTGCGAATAGCAGTCTGTTTAGCAAAAGCTATACATCAGGTCAATATATACACAATCAATGAGACCCATCCATACGAACCTAATCGTAGGACGTAAGAGGGATGCACAGATGCACAAAGAAGACTACCCCTTTTAGCACCCACCAAGAAGGTATGCCGTAGTTGGAAACAACACGACTGGTAAGTGTAGCCAGAGCAAATGGCTGACGGTTTTAAACTGGACCAGAAAGCGTTGGAGCGATGTTAAATTAGGGACTACGGAATGAAAATCTCTCAAGAAACTTCCTTCGGTCAACCTGATGAAACCAATCAAGATGGGTTTAATGAGGTCAGACTCCATTAGTTCCGTGTCATGGTAGCCAGTTTCTGGAATTAAACCGTATTCCTCCGAAGGTTTATAACCACACAAACGTTGTGGTCCTCAGAAATGAAAATTTGCTCCTCCCTCTGGTTGATCAGCGATACAAGCAGCACATGATAATTCTTCCAGCCCTTTCAACTGTCGAGTCATGTGAAACAAGCTCGTGTCGCTGCTTACTGACTTTATCAGAGGACACGGATCTGTCCTACACACTTTCCCATCTGGTAGGGCCGCCATAAGAGACTGACCGAAAATTGTCGCTTCTGGAAGGTGAGCTAATCTGAGACGACCGCAGCAACTGAAATCTGCTCCGAGTGATGAACCCATAACTTAATTTCAATGCAAGCTATTTTTTTCTGAGGACAGACAATTACATTGTCAATACCGTCTAAACCTACTCAGTTATATTACCCATGTAACAGAAATGGCGAATTGCTCTGAGGCAGACGATGCCCTTCCTGTACAAGTGGAACTTCTGTACTTATAAGGACATAATAGACTAGAATTAGTTCGAATGATTCCAAAGACAACGCAGCGATGTCGGTTTTCATCGGCGGGCTCCCATATGATAAACGACCGTGATTTTTCGGGTGCAGACGCTGTAGCAGTAGATAGCGTGACTGGTTGTGACTTAGTACCGTGAAGTTCCGTGAGGCCATTAGTGCGCTTGGGTCAACGATATTTCGCTAATTTGAGGGTATCTGACGAACAGTCATCTTGTTGTACTGTCCAAATGCAGTTGCCCCCCCCCCCCCCCCGAATGGTGACCATCTGTGGGGCCTGGTTAAAGTGGCTTTTACCGATAGGAAAGCTGGGTAAATCCTGAGTAAAACGGTTAATTTTTTGAAGCCCTCCATTGGCTGTCTGAATTTCGTAGGATTCTCTCATAATGAATGCCATTGGGTGCTAAAATGTCACCAATTAAAGGTCTTGTCATGATCTTTGGATTAGTCTGCTTCTCTTCGTCATTCGTTGTCTCATCTTCTGTCGAGAAGTTTGATTGGCCACCCGCAGATCTCATCATTACGCAAGGTACATCACCTACCAAATTTTCTTGACTAGCCAAATGTAGCAAATGCTTGTAAAATGTCACGTGGTCGAACCAATAATTGGAGGATCACTTATAAAACTGGTTGACTACACAATAGGGAATCCAAGCTAGCATGTGCTGTCGGTACTCCGATTGCTTTTTACGTCTGGATTATCAGAGTAGCCAATCATAAAGACGGAGTCTGCATGACGACTGATTCGATGGTACGGTTATTAACACAGTCCGCTGTATGGCCAAGCAGCAATAAACCTCCCTGGAATCGTTCATATTCTCATGACTTCAAGCCATCCGCAGGCAGCTCAATTAACGCTTTGATACCATTCTACGGTTCGAAACCATACCATACTGTTTGCTTAGATGTCTTTGATACCCACATCATCCGTGTAACGCAGAGGTATTGTAATGTTTCGATGAGTTTCATACACCGAAGGCATCACAGTGTTGCACGGTTCAGGAACGGATACGAAATTTATGCTTGCCCCAGCAACTAACAGACAATGGTCATGAAGCGATCTTTCATCACTGGACGAAACAGTGGTTCAAGGTGTCACGCTACTCTGACCATCTAATAGCGTTGAGGACATTTCTCGATAGAAAGTAAAGTTGGCGGAAACTTGGCGACTGCGCCAATCTGATGAGCTTCAAGAACGGCGAAACCGGTCGTGGGCCATCGAGGAGTTTTCAGCAACCGTGTGAGTAGTGTAATACGTCTACACAATGTTTACGCAATCTCGAATATCGCACAAACTGAAACATAAGGTGGCCTGGTGCAGCACATTCAGTTGAGTAACAATGTCATAAACGAAGGATTCAGCTGAGTTTCTCGTGAAAACCGTATGGGCATGCAGATGACTGCATAAGAGGGATAGCCTTGAAATTATTTCGCTTTCCATTCAGATGGAAGCTGTTAAATGATGTTCAACAATACCTCCGAATCTTGTGAGAGGAAGACCAAACTACTGTCTGGTTGCCTCAACCAGGAACTGAGAAGTAAGTGAAAGGTATACCAGCTAGGGTCTCGATCGTTACGCCTGGGTAGTCGCAATCTAGTAAGTTGGCTCATGGCACAGTTCTCTCTCAATGTGCAAAAAGGTTATCCGACAGTAGAACCTTTCACAGCTAGCCACGCGAATCATACGCAAAACTTAAATTTTCAATCTATGCCCTGAATGTAGAGCCATCGTAAGGACGTTTGTCGATGATAAGTGGACAGAAACGCTAACCTTGCAGTAGAGGACGGGCCACAAAAGTGACACGACGAAAGTGACAAACCCTGAGTAATTCGAAAGCACTGGACAGGTAACAAAGTAGAAAAACTTCAGAGCAAGTCGTGGAAATGGGAGGTCGGTGCTGATACAGTCGTGTGAAATATGGTAATCACAATGCAGAAAAAGAGAAAGTGTGGTCTCAGATATCGATTATAACGAATAACTCATGCTGGTCTTCTTTGTCGTGAATCTGCATGTTGGAGTATGTGATGGCTTTGACCTCAGTACCCTGAAAAAAAGTAATCGGTTTCGCCAACAGCGAATGTGGATCAATTACCTGAGGGTGTTTTCCCAACTGAAATGGCTCACCCCATCTGTGAAGAAGAGAATAGGCGGACGTGGAAAGATCTTACCCCACAGATTTGATTCGAAAGTTCTCCATATCAAATTCGGTTATGCAGATAACCTGCAAGAGGGGAGAATGGGACGACCGTTTGCATCAAGCGGGAAGTGTGCGAGACACGCATGCATTTTGCCAGGTACACTTCCTGCCTTGGTCTCGAGTTATTGAGATGGGACTGGTAGCAAACACGTTTCGATAACCAAGAGGCCAATGGCGTGAGTTGTTACGTAAGGACTAGTTTGACGCATTCGTCGATGCTTCACGGACACATACAAAACCTGATGCAACATAGTCAGAACTGACAGTTAGACCCAGGATCAGGGGCTCCGCCCCAGGATCGAATCAAGAGAGACTCGGCCGGATGCTGTGAGGACAAAAGTCCCGGGGGAAAGGGTGAACAAAGTCATTGAGTTTCGAATGATGTTCAGAAATGAGCATCCGAGGTGCACACGCAAAGATTCGATGTACATTTTTCAGATAAGGGCGGTGACAATGCGGAAGATGACGGCAGGCTTGTGCTTGGTCTTCACTCCCAAGACATTGCAATGAATGAACTTCTATGATGTCCAGGAGATAAGCTTCTAGTGTCGCTGCTCCTTGTGTAATAGTGATTTGCTTCAGCGGTCCACTTGCACTAAGCGCACCGCACGTAGACACTGCATATTTCTAATATTGTTAGAGTGGAGAAGTTTGGAGATTTCGTCCTGTAAGGGAAGTCAATCTATGCAGAATAGCCGAGAAGCACTTTACAATTGTTTCAACCTTTTTAGAAAACACCGACAGCGCACATTTGACGAAACTCCAAGGAGTGAAGCTTTCATCTGAGAGTCCCTAATTCGAGTAGCCAGTCAATACTTGCGGGCAAATAATGTGGATTCAATGATCGCAGGATGAGTGGCGCTATGTCTCGTTTAAGGTCAAGTTCATCACACTGCTCATCAGCCGCTCGTGGTCGAACCGTCAAGTGTCAGGAGGTTGGGAGTTCGTAATTTCATGGAGTTTTCTCGGGTTCACACTGCTGATGATTTCCGACTAGTATGGAACAGGTGTACAGTGCCTCTCGGTTTTTTAGCATAGCTTGGATTCAATTAAAGGATGACATTTTCATTCTCAGAGTTGTTATCACACTATCTCTTCCTCCATTTTATGGGTCTGTCAGTAAAAGTCATTTAGATTAGGGATCTCACTCGCAAAGCGGTGAGAAAAGCCCATAACTCGTCTACTAGCTAAATTCTCACGATGAACGGAATCCCGATATTAAAAAAAACGTGGACATCATAGCGAACAATGTTGGTCTCGTTGTTTTCAAGGTTAAAGAAAGTGACGAAAACAGATGACAAGATGCGGGATGATGCTATGAAAAAGAACCATCGAACACAAGTTCAACTTAACGAAATCACCAGAAAGTGACCGGTACCATGATTTCCGCGCAGTTTGCGTGTTCTTAGTCCTGACTATTCCACTTAAGGGCAGTTAAAAATTCACTGTTTCGTTTTCATACCGTCTTGTAACTACACAGTGTCGTTTTTTAGCATCCACCGAAAAACTAATCAAGATACTCGAACTGTGTATTCCTAGACTTTGTCATTCACGGGGATGAAATGAGAATGAAATCACAGGCATCCGATAAGTATTCAGCTAATAATACAATCATTCCAACCTTAACGCTCTTTCGGCGCCCAGGTGCTGTGTCATCTGATACGAGGGCTGATCGCCCAAGCCTAAACAGAAGCGGTTGAAATTCACAGGTTAACTTCGAACCAGAAGCTTCCGGCCAGTAATTTCACGTCTTAGCCAGTGAGCCATCTCAAGACCCTTGATAAGTATTGAAGGACGATGAAGAGCACTCGATGAAGGGGATATTTATAAGACGTGGCTACTGACAGAGGCTTCCAAAAGTTTGGATATCCCAGTTCACTTCTATTCCATCCAGGGTTCACAGGCCCTTCAAATGAACGAAAGTTTTACTCAAACGTTACTACCAACTTGAGTCGTGGGGAGGAACTGTGAACGGTGTGATCCTGTCCAGCAAAAAACCCTATCCCGAATCCCGGTTCGCACATGCCCAAACAAAACAAATTCCACGTTAATAGAAGTCTCGAACCCATAGAAGGCAATATAGTTGGACAGTCAAACTTGCGGGACACTATTTAGTAAAATCACAAAAAGTTGATTCGATGGATTCTCCTTGTAAGAGAGAGCATTTCTGGAACAAGTGGGGTGGAAACCATCGTTCACCGAAGAGTGCTGTTTTCCATGCCTAATACAGAGTGGTGTAAACAGAGGTGGCCAACCCTTGACTTGGCAGAGGAGTATGAAGGAGATCACGAAACGCTCGGGTGCTGCCGGTGCTACTCGCCTTCCAGGATGGGGACTGCGTGATCCTCACTGTGTCTGGTTGGAAACTACAAGATATGGCTGCCAACCGATGTCAGTGGCGTTCTTGTTGTCAGTTTTTATCCAGATCGCCTGATTGAATGTCTGGAGGTGAAGGCACCTCGGAATGATTGCATTAAGCTAGCACTAAGTCCCTCCCCTGTCCACATTTACGTTTTCCTTTACAACAAGGCTTTCAAATAAATCATGGTTGTACGGCAGTGGAGCCTCGGTGTTGAACACTGATGTCATGCTGTCGATGATGATGATGACGATGATGGGGTGGAAACGGTGAGGTAACCGAACATCCGGAGGAAAGAACTAATTTTGAAATGGCAAACTTCCACCAGACTATAAATACAATGGTTTGCGTATTCCTAAGCGTTACTTTGGTGATTAATAGCGGTACGTGAAAGCAACCTTTGTCTTGGTTCACAGGCCAGAAACTACTATACTAAGTTAGCTAGCGAGTTTTCCGTTCCAGTTGTAACGGGATACTAACATTAAAAACATCCTTTAAACGATCTTCGTGCTAGTAGGGCAAGCGCCTTGTCATTGAACCCACACTACTTATAGGGTTGCTGAAAACCAGTTGACAGTCCTCCACCGGTTAGGGCTCAGTCCTAGAGTTTGTTAGCTAAACGTCCAAATATGCATGGACGGAGTAATATACGCATTTCCAAACTAACTTAATGTTAACCGTATACTTGACTGAATCACACACGAATCTTTCGGCATAAGAACCGTTAACCGAATATGGTGCAAAGAAATTCCCCCAACATTTCAGCTGGAGTGATATTCAAGATATCGAAGTATTGGTATTGATCCAAAGCCAACATGTATGACGCTGATAGAAAATCTTCGTGCGTTGGTTATAAAAACTCTCTTGCTTGCTAGAATACAAGTTCTAACTCACATCTTCACTCATAACCTCAAAATCTATCGATTCGGGCTCGACGCGCTCACACACCATAAGTTTTGCTTGAATTGACTGGTGGTTCCCAAACCTTATTATGTCGTTGAATTAGCAACGTTTCTGGGTCGACGGGGTGGGAGATAAGAAGATGCAACTGATCGTTACTTTACCGGTCACCATTGCCAAACAGTGTGTAGTCAGCAACGTGGTCCACAGGATGTTCACCTTATAATGGCGACAGACAAAACAAGTATTATCAGTGTTTAGCAATCATGTTAGAGTTGACTACCATAACTTACTCGTGGTATGAAATATGGTGAGAAGGCGAACAACCCCTCATCCAGAAAATGGTACAACAGGGACAAAGAATCTTCGCCTGGAAAGAGACAAATTAGTGAAAGCATCTTGTCGGACTGTGGTTATCATAGTATCTTCAGTCCAGATTGAATGCATCCTATTGCCTACTCAGAAAAGTGAGTAGTGTAGCCAAATAAAAACTAGCAAAAAATAAAGACTAAGTACGTAGTCATCCGAATAGTTGCGCCTAGTCAAACAATACATCTATGGAGTAGCGTGTAGGCTGTAGCGCAAGAATGCCGATACAAGTACCGTTTTTCTACAAAAAAGCTGTTGATTACTAAGGTGAATTTAGCCAGTGTGGGCGTTGCGTTACCTAAATTACATCCATGGAGCAAGCAAACTGGCACATTCCACTAGATGCAACCTTTCAAAAGCATCACAGACCTTTAGCCTCCGTTTCGTACGGTTCCAACATCTCCACCGAATCGTAATTGGTTGTCATGTAGCCGAACATAGCCATAGCAATCTAGAATGTGAGGCAAGTATAATCCTTGAATTTACTTGTTCAAAGGCTTCTTTTAAGGTGTCCCCCCATGAGTGCAACCTAAAATGGAAAGATAGAGAAGCGCGCGTGACGCATGAGGGTTGGACTGAGTAGCTCTCTTACGAGAGGACAAACTGGTTCAGACAAAGGGTGCATTCCAAAGGCAGTGTGGCGCATCTAATTTAGCGGTCGAAATTCGAAAAATTATGGGATATGCTTTCGAAACAGATGCCTGAAGTATAGTAACGCGGATATAGAAGGTAATGTTGATGGATCAAAGAGGGCTTCAACGGGTAAGTGAATGAGAGTAGCTGAGTGAAGTAAGTTACCGCATAGGCCATTCAGTTACCTTATTTCTATTACGTTTGTACTGACTCAAGTGTATACGGAGGCTATCCGATAGGCAAGTGTACGAGCGTGATTTGGAGTTTGGATAAGGCATGTATCGATTGATTTGAGCGATTTACAATTCCCATCAATCCTTACTGCACCCACCTGAGCTCGAAGTTAACAAAACCTGGCGAAAAAAATTCGTTTGTCCTTCACAATGCACGACCGAAGTAACGAAACGAACAACAAAAGTGGTTTAGGAGGATGAACAGTGATGGCTCAGTCACTTTCCTGAACCGGCGAGGATGGGAAACAAGATGGATAATTCGTATAAAACGATGGAGAATGCGCATTTAACGCGTGTGGCTCGAGACCTTCATGAGTATTGAGCCAAAGGGATGATCTGATAGCCGTTTATTCGCCTTCCTCATAACGGCCCAAGTCCAAATAGAGTTCGATGGGAAACACACAGGGCGGATACGATTAATCGATAGAGACTCTCCAAGTTCAGGCAGTGCAAGACACGTACCGATGGTGACTTCGAACACGGATAAAACAGCCTTGATGTGTTTCATCGTCTTTAATGTCTTTCACCGTGGATTAATTTCAGTTGCAGGATGAAGACCTGATGCGAAAATGCATCGTTTGTTCCGTATAAATACGTCATTCGCATATGAAAAGAGAGTGTAGAACGGTTAAGCCTTTCGAATAAGAATAACCATGGCCCACGTTGTTTCACTCTGGCTGTGCTGGACACGCAAGGCAATGATCGAATATAGCAGCCTTGGGTTACTCGAAAAGTGGGAGAGAAAGCAAAGTGATTCCGGTAGGTTGTAGCTCACGATGCTCTGCTTAGTTCATCGTCAATTATTTCTTCAGAACTGGACTAAAAACCGAAAACTAAACTAGAGGGATCGTTTCTTGCTGGTAGTGTGAGAGGACTTGGGAATTTTCAGTTTAAACTTCTTCCTGCAAGTGAAGTCAAGCTATACTGAAAAGCCAAGGGGCATCATACAGCTGCTTCATCCCTAGTGAGAATCATAGTCGCTCGTATCTCACGAAACTCTAGAGGATTTCGAATTCCAGGCCAGTAGTTTGAATACGTAACCGTTGGGCCACAAGCGGTTTGTTAGGAATGCGATCAACGAGTTGCAGAACAAAATCCGCATCAAAGAATAGGTTTTATTTGTTTCTGTCATATCCAAATCTGACCCTACTGCATCCAACGAATGGCCTGCGGCCTACGCATCAAGGAGTGGCATCGTTCAACCTATAGGTGCCCCATGCTGGTTGCCACTTTCTGACCTGCGTTGAGGTTAAGTGGTCACATGGATGCGAAGCACTGAATAACGAGGCCGTGAGTGAAACCATTCAACCGTATACATTACGTGTCTTTGTATGTTTCACATTGCATGCCCTGATATGGCGGTTATTCAGGGACACATGTTTAAATTTGAAAAAAAAACTTACTGCACGTCAGCAGTGTGATCCAGATCTGGAAGTGAAATGCGTAAAAAAACAACAACTGTGGCTTCTTACATTCATATTTAACCACCGGGATTTCGGGCTTAGTAATACACCTGACCATGGGTTAGTGGGGCTGGTGTTTCTGGTACCAAGGATGGGACACAGGGTACGTACAGTTTCGACGCTGACGAAACCGATTCCTCGCACTGAAATAAGGAAAAAAAGACAAGTTGGGGCCAGTGAACGAGGTTGCTAGGCAAAGTAGATGAAATGAAACGTAGTCAATAACAGCACGCTGCTGCATGATTCCTGATGCTAAGGTGAGCTAAATTAGTTTCCACGTGGGTGCAAACGACTCGAAGGCGACCAATCTAGAAATTGGCACATTAGAGAGACGTGACGACAGCTCGTTTGTACCAACGAGCATTTTAAGGTTACTTGTGGATTTGACGGACATCTCATTTTGAACATTAGTGAAAGGACGTTCAAACCACCAGTCCAAAGACCACCGACGTACAACCGACTTGCGTCTCTCACTATGGTGTTTCCGTCCGATGGTGTAACGAGATCGGGCAGTCATAAGGGTTTTGTTAACTAATCGGCCTTAAAACAGTACAGTAGAAAAATTATCAACATACCTGGGCTGCGCAGTTACAAATTGTCACATGAACAACCCAGAGCTCCGCGCAAGAAAAGCAGTCAGATCACTGTCGGCAGAAATAGCAGCACCAGAGGTAATGTCGATTAAAAATGTAAGCCGCGGTATAGGAAAAGAAGATGCGGGTATGATCAGGGCCCAAAGATGACTGTCTTTATTGGAACCTGAAGTGCATGATACCCGTAGACACGGGGACACAGGACGCAGAATTACAGTCTCTCGAGGTGCATCGTCCCATACACTACGGGCGCTGGCCCAAAACTGACGAACATCAATAAGTGTCATCGGTGGGGACCAGATTCACGACATCTTAGGGTGCAAGTTAGCGAAGGGTAATTTGTGAGGACCATTGTTCTCGGTTTTCATCGAACCGCAGTCAGTGCAGGGTTTATTGTCCAACTTGAGTTCCCTCAAACAAAACTTAGTGCTGATGATGACCTTCAAGTAGGATGAAACAGACGTGGTGCTTATCGGCTTTCTGACCGTCAACAAAATATGAGGAGTGTGTACTACCGTCGAAGAGACCAATTCTATCTCCATAAAAAGACAGCTGAACACTAGCGAAATGTACTCATTTGCAAACAAATTCGGTTTTTTACGAGAGACCCACCTGGAACTCAGCTGAATCTCTCGTTTACGAAATTTCCAAGCAACCGTGCTGGTGCTTAACTGTCATACAAATGTGGGGAAAGGATGCACTCGTTAAGAGTTGAAAGAAAGGAAAGAGGTGAAGACCTGGTGAAAAAGCCCCACGTCTCCACAGAAACGATTAAGAATGTGTTTTGGAAAGAAAAGAACGTTTGCCGACCAGAAATCCGTAGGAATATCACAGGCAAAATTAACTGAAGTGACCACTTTCAACGCAAGTGATTGAACAGGAATAAGTGAAAGATGATTAGTTTGATACCGGAAAACTGACGCGTGGGAGTCACGGATATCTGAAGCAATTAAACACAGGTACGAGGCCTGATATAATTGGATGTCTGATAAGTGGTTGTTGCCCAAAATTGTGAAGTGGTACCTAGAGTGTAGCTTCTGCGCTAGCCTGATATGCTAAGGAATGAACAAGTATTACTAGTTCAACCCGTGCACAACTGAACCTTCGTTAGAGGGCGGTAGGAAATGTCGGAGGCGAACCATCTCACGCACGGAGAAGACACCTTTATAGCGAATGATATGAAATTTCACGAAAAACATTCAACTGAGGACAGCTCTGTGTTCACAAACTACAGCCTTCGAAAATAGGGTGTGGCTTTCAAGTTCACACAATGCTCGGGAATCGAGGCGAGGGGCAATCCACCAGCAACTGTCTCGATAACAATGGCAAATTTACAAAACACCACTAAGAACTGCACTTTTTTGGTAGCCCAACCCTCCCACCGCCAGTTGAGAATTGTTTCGCAAATAGCTATAAATGAGGAGTTCCTGTTTAATTGTGCACCCTCTGGAGATAATCTAGTGACCTGACCCTAACGCGTGTAGCAAGTTGCTGCTCTTGTGTTCATTCGCACCTGTAGCCATTATGCTATTCGATCGCCGTTGTCCTGTACATTCTACGCAGCAATTTCGATAGATGAGGCTGGCTTATTTTGCACCGGGCGACTCTGTATGAGACTCAAGCATGAAACATGTAAGCTACGCAATGCCCAGGTTCTTTCGACATTTTCGAACACATTTCCATTCAACCACACTAATCTGTGTCTGATAGGACTTTTACAAGGAAACGGGACTTTTCCCTTAGCCAGCCTCCTAGATTGTTAACCTTACCAATAAGTACAAACCGGATCAAACAAAAACTGACTCAGGACTCAAGGGGAACTCCGTTGTCAAACAGAACAGGCGAATTGGGACATCATTTTTACATTGGACCCCCAGTAGGGATAAAGTGAACGGGGTTTCACAGGAAAAAGAACTTAGCAACGACCCTTCCCTCCCAAAAAAAGACTTGATGCGGAAATGAACTTCTATGGCTTCGGACTAAATCATGGGATATGAGAAACGCTATTATGACCTGTTTTAGGGGTCCTTCTTGGTAGCCATCATTGTAAGGGAATTCAAAATCCATTATCCCAGAAGGTAATAACAATTAAGAGAGCAAGATGGACCGTTCTACCAAATGAAGCAAGTTACAGTAACCATTGCGAGTCGCGTACCAGCCTAGTCACTGTGTAGGTCTCTAATCAGTTCGCCGATACCTGATGGAAGTGTTTGAACTAAATGCGCACCGAACGTTTTGGTTGCTTCGGCAGCCTGGGGCAGTCTCGACCCTCAAGCTTCCTTCATGATGTAAAACAGGCAGGCTTAATGAAACGTCACAGATGGGCGTTGTTTGAGTCAACTGGTGGTGTGTTCGGATGGGACCGGACACTCATAGTCCACCATGTTACGCACAAAACCAGCGAACCATGACCTCTAAATGGTCTGTGTAAAGCACCCACCAGAGGAACATCCTTTGCGATAGTCGAACAAATCTGGACATACAATTAGACGTAGGTGTCGGTCATAATCACTGTTTTAGGAATGAAAATGCATCAACGGCCTTACACCCATTCACATTTGATCAGTCAGTGAAAAACTGGAAGGCGAGGAAATAAAAACTGTATTTACAAAGGGACACTGCGCGAAGTCAAGCACTGTCATCCTCGTCACTGATACGTGCACGAACTTTCTTTCGTGGCTCGGAGATCTGCATGAAAAAACGATGGCACAAAAAGCAAGTCAGAGGACTTCAGGACAGAAGGCGTAGATAGGCGCAGATTAGTCATTGGCACACAGGGAAAAGAGATAAATCAGTAATTGCTCAGCGGTGACACGCTTTCGGTGCCCGGCTGTCAAGCCACCAGAAGAAAACATGAGAGCTGACGTTCTGCCAGGTTGCCCAAGCCTAGACAAGAGCAATCGCGATGCCCGGGTTGGGTCCGAATCACGGAGTTTCGGTTAGTAGGCTCGCGCCTTAACCGCTGAGCCATCTCAGTAAAAAGGACAGTATAACATTCGCTTTGAGGCCGAATAGAAAGGGGACGATCGACATGCTCTTCACGAACAGCGAGTATAAAACCCATATAGCACTCCAAGCATCTGAGAGACACTGATATGGGGAGAGTGAAACTGTCTCCGGCTGAAAGATGCGAGAGGATAACCAAAAGTGACCTCACATAGCATACAGCTAAGTTTGAAAATATGCAACACAAGGTTACACGATGACTTTCTTCATCACACTAATTGCACGAAGTTTATTTTTATCTGTCAGCGGCCACAACGTCACTCCCCATCTTTCTCACACACGAGTCTACCAAAACGGTTTTCTTACTGCAAACCCTCTCCGTCGGTTTACGTCATCCGCCACTAAATTCTAGTTGATTCCGGCAGGATTGCGTGAGTGTTATCATCATGGTAGGTTTGTCGTAACGGGGTCACGCTCGCTTTATTAATCGGGTTGTTGGGCTTCAAGTACCGCCATCAAATCACTTCCAGTATTGCGTCCATGAACAAGTGTAGTTCCGTTCAACAATACGCGTTGGAACAGAGGGCGTGGGCTTCTAGAAGTCCGCACTGGTGGCGCCGGTGGATGAGCTGAGCGTTGTCGTTTGACTAACATCATAGGGGATAATCACAACTAAAGTTGAATTAGTGTTGTGACAGATACTCATTTACCGACTGAATTTCACCGAGTCTCGTTCATAATATTTTTGAACTGGCTGTGGTGTACAAGTGGTCACATAAAATCAACTCTAGCACCCTTGTAGGCCCTGGAACGTTAGGGAGGGTCATTTGCATGTATAAACTAGACATAGCTTGATAAACTATTGCGAAAACAAGCTTCCACTCATACATTTCTCGTGCAACGTGTGAATCATGAGGCTGTATGGACATGTGTACAGAAAATGCAGTCACTTGGAGTATGACGTTGGCGCGACACATTCTTTTTTGAGTGTCGCTTATAGTTCGCCAACCACGACTTTCCGATCTATTGGATGGACATATCCTGAGGGTGGGTCCCTCAACACCACTGTAGAAAGATTTACTGAGCTCAAGGGTGCTATCCGTCTACATCTACCTGATAAACGCTAATAAGGCCCAGAGCATTTCGCGATCCAATTTAATCAATCAATTGAGTCAATCATCCAGGTGTAACAGCCTTTCGGCGCATAGCTACCATGTTACCCGAAGGAGGTACGAGGGCTGAGATACAAGCAGGTTGCCCAAGCCTGGACAAGGGTAGCCGAGATACTGAGTTTGGGTTCAAACAACGGACGTTGCGGTCAGTAAGTTCGCACCTTAAACATTGAATCGTGAGCTGATCCAATGGGAAGTGTAAACCAGTGCTCCTCCTTTGAGGCTTTGAGTGGTCGACTGGCTGATTGGGTCGGCTAAGGTGAGAGGAAGATTAGTGCTATTCAACTTCTCGTGTGTTCTGTTCGAAGAATGAGAAAGATTTAAAGGTGAAATGATGTAGATAACTGACGCACAAAACTAGAAATCGATAATGAGACCACTTCATCAGAATTGAGCATTCAGCTTGGGTGAACTCACACGACCACAGATTGTCCATCAAATCTACTCATTGTTCCTTACCACATCAACCTCCCTCCCATCTTTTACCGTCATATCACCAAGTGTGATGCACATGAGGATGCCCAAAATCCGGAAATATACCATAGACACTTACGTCACTCAGGGAGTCCGATTCTGATGAGTAGATCGCAGCAACATCTGAAAACGTAAAAGTGACCCTAATTAATATAGACCCATGATCTAGAAAGTAGAGGCTGACCGGGTTAAAGTGCATGACAAAGAGACAAGGTAAGACTCAAGAAACGAGAGGTTGCGTGAAGTACCATGAATATCACAACAAGAAATGAGTAGGCAGAAGAATGCCAGGAACACTATATTACTGCATAATATTATGGTAACCCCACCTGATAGAGTTGCTTCCCCCGTAGGTCCAAAGCAACGCTCAATGGTGTTAGTGAGACTAGAGAATAAGTCACGGTAGGTAGGGCTGCAACAAACTTGTTCATCAACGGTTTAAACATTGAAGTGTAGACCCAGTTATAAAGATACAAAGGCTGCGGCTGTGCAATGAATCAGACTGACTTATGCACTGAAAGCAACAGCTCGAAGAGATCCTCAGCTTTGGCTTTACTTCAAGACCACCTTACAGTGCGACTGCTTGCCCCTTTTTGTATGGCTACTCCTTTTCAGCCTTCCTGGCATGGTTTGAACTTTGACATACGATGTCACAGCCAATGTAGCTCCCGTGCACATCGAATCATTCGAGCTAGACCAAACCACGGTCATACCCCAGTTCAACGCTCCCAGTAACAACGACCTTATGTGCGATCTCCACAAACAACCCCCCTCCCCAGGAGGTCAAACCCTCATTTCCAGGGCATTACAAGATAGAGAGAAACTAATTTCGGAAGCTGCATTTTGTGACGAGATGACAGCATCACATGTGCTAGAGACAAACCGAACATTATCCAGCTTCGGTAACTAGTGAAATAGCCACTCCATGCGCTGAAATACACCTTCTTGGAGTCCAAAGTAGGGCGAGCCTCTGGAGAAAAGCTACACAAGGTGGGCCTCCCTTTGGAGGGGATGATGGAAATCATATCCGGAATCTTCAGAAAAATCCTAAGGGGTTTCAGAAGTAATCTACTCGAATATCTAAAGAAAAATCGTTGAGCCTTAGCAACTTTTAGGTGCCTAGCTGCCATGCCAACGGAAGGAGGCACGAGGGTTGGGATACTTCCAGGCTGCCCAAGCCCATACAACAGCAGTCGAGATGCCAGAGTTGAGTTCGAATCTCAAACACTGATCCATCTCGAGCTAAGTCGGATAACAATGCATTCGGCTCACCCGAACAATCGAATAACCGCAATAGAAATACGACGGATTTATTACCAAATTTCACCGAAAACTTTGGTCGTCACGTCAAAGTGGACTCCTTGAGTTACTCACTAAGTTGCTAACACCAGGTGGTGTTTTTTGCTAGTTTACAACTCAGTTCCAGAGCAGCCTTAACGGCAGTTTCTCTTGGTAAAAGCGATGTCACTACCATGCATGCATATGAACAGGTCACCGTCAGCTGGAGATTACAGTGCCTGGTTCATGTAGAGTGGAAGGACCAATCGAAATGAACACAGCGATGGTACGAGAAAGCACAAAAAAGGACTGTATCCAAAGGATGTCTGCAAAAGACGTCAATCTGGTCACAGGGGGCCCAAACGGAACCAGCAATTGTTTCCACTGTACCGAGGACATACCTGAAGCTCAAAAGTTTTTTTTAACAAGCATATTGGCATGGTATTCAGCGTGTTATCTGAGAGATCTTACTAGTGATAGTAATGCACATCACTCGAAGGGATCAAGCATGGGAGAACAAAAATGCACCGAACGACAATGTGGATCAGGCGGTCGACCGAGTTTACTGTACTGTCTCCATGCGTGGCTCTGTGTGTATAAACGTGCGCAACCCGTGGTCTATTATCTGCCTATCGTGCCCTATCTTTCGCGGTCAGACTGATCATTCACCAAGGGATCAACCGATCAACTGGAGCTTCATCGTAAACTTTCCAGAGCTTCACCCTAGTGCACCATACTCCGTTCCCACACTCCGTTGCCACATTGTTGTGAATAGTGGCCAAAGCGTTAAAGCCGCCTGCTAAGTCATGATCATGAGGGAGAGTGGCTCCTATTCAAAAGTGTCTATTTGGAGATCTATTAATCTATGCACTCGGCTAACAGAGCAAGGTTAAATTCTAGGTTTGGGTGAGTCATATACACTGTTATCTCGAGAAACTAAGTGAAAAATCACAAATAACCAGTATTCCTCCAACATACGCTCATTAACTCTGGATTATTGTTTCGAACACAGTTCATATCGTGAACATCTTGAGTTGGTCCTCCTATCGACCAGTCAGACAATACATAAATGATATTTGTTCACGACAGGACAAATCCACGTTCTTTCAGCTGTACTAACCGCGTACTCGTCGTACAGTGGTTGTAGCTGCCGCAGTTTCGTTCACCGATGTTTTGGGGAGGGGATAGGTACAGTGGGCTGTCACTTCACATGACTGGTTGGCTTTTTCACTGATCCTCACTGCGCTTCTGTACCTTCATGCATATCAATTTGGTCTTGTATGTTAAAGGCGCCATAAAAGAAGATATCCACTGGCCCATGGCATGAAAGGCACGAAATAATAAAACTCCTAACCTAGCCTAACTAAAACTCTTCAGCACCGAAAATGGCTTAGAACAGACAGCTAGTCTCCTATGTCGAGCATTCGAAATAGCGACTGTCGGTATTCGGTTAAAAAAAATCGTTCAGCTGTAGCACCCTTTCGATACCTAGCTGCCGTGCCACACGAAGGAGGCACGAGGGCTGGGATACTGCCAAGTCGCCCAAGTCTAGACAGGGGAAGTCGAGAGGCAGAGGTCGGGTTGGAGCCACGGTTTAGGGATTGACAAATTCAACACGAACGAACCTTTGCGACTGGCAGCCAGTGCATTCTTCGCATTCCGCTTCAACGCGTTAATGGAGGTGCTGTTACCATCATCTTCGTCATCATCCTCATCCCCACCGTAATGACGATGTGAACTGCTGGACCCCCCACCGAAGCTACCTCGAGTCATGGCTTGTCGTTCGCGCAGACGCCGCATTCGACTTTCACGACGGAGAGTCACACGAAGTTTCTCTTCTTCCCGTTTGACGAGGGCGATTCTGTTGGATTCAGGATCCGCACCAGCAACCGGGAGGATTTTGACCTGTGAGGAAGGAACGATAGTTAACATCCAATCAGATAGAAAACATAATTGAAGGGAGTTCATCACCGCCAGGACGAACTCATTGGTTGCCCGGTTAGTTGAAGTCCCAATCGTCAATCTGGAGCTACAATAGTCACCTCAACCTCCCAAAATGCGATAACCTCTTCAGAGGAACTGAGTTCGGGGACACTTCCGCCGTAAAAAAGTCTTATGAGTAGCATTTATTTCTACTCTTAATATGAAATGACTGTTCATTATTACACACGATTCCCAAGTATTTTTACTGCAGTTAAGTGGAAGCTTATCATGTCTCATCTATATAGGCCCCGATAAAAAAAACAGGAACTAGCTGAGCAAGGTGAGAACATCTTTTTCGTGTGATTCGTGTATATTAACCTTAGGTAAGGAATGAGATTGGCTAGTCCATCACAGCTATCTTAGCATAGGTCGCTATCGAATAAATGACAAATGTCCGTGTGGTTTGAAGAGTAAACATCGCAAGGGACCTCGTTTAGCTTGCAGTATACCGGTTAACAGGCTAAGTGGGTCGAGTGTGACATTGTTCTTTCACTTGCCTGCCAGGATACCGTGCAGCACTGTCGGGCAGAAAATGCATTTCTCACCTAGAGACTCTAGCCCCAAGACCACCGACTGGTCGATTTTCTGAAAGTCGTAAAGTTGCTCATGTGAACCGATTTTTATAACCGCACACTGATGTTCCCCAGTTCGAGATCGGCCTCCTACGAGTAGCCTTACACGACCGATTTCGACATTCAAGTGAGTATGATTGTATACTGATCCATATAGCAGCCAGTAGATGCATGACCCAATAAGGATTCAACCACAATGACATCCAAACGATCGAATATTCATATGACAAGAACATTGGGACATGGGGGACGTCCAATGGATGCACATACAAGAGAAGGGGTCAAAAAGCATAGTGTGAGTGGAGATGAACGTGATGGCACCAAATAGGAAGTGGCGAAAAGCGTATCGAAACCAGTAACAAGGGACATACCTTTTGGGATTTATTTGTTTTGTCGGCCAGCGATAATGTGATTTTTCGATGCGTGAATGAGTCTGTCGAATGTGGCCTTTGTGAGAGAAAACAGAAATTATTTTAAACGTCTAGAAAACCGTTGTTGGATATGTGACCCGAATAGAAATGCCTCTTAATACTGGTCCAAACTTGAGTGATCTAACATTAAAGTAAGTCCGATCAATAAGTACCCGGCCGGAAAAATCATGCTGTGGAGTAGGATTAAGCAGTGACCTCGTACCGGCAAAGTAGAGTAAAACCAACAAAAGGCAGTATTGAAACGGAAGCAAAAAACTCATGACCATCCACTCCTTGACTTAGTGTGGCTGGGAGTTGGTGGATTGTGATACAGTTGTTCCACTTTGGAGTGACCAGCCCAAACACCATTTTAGCTGGTCCTCCCAAGACTACTTAAACGGCAAAGAGGGGACTGTCTCACAGAAGGAAACACTTGGTGGGTTCCTTGAGGTGACCCTTTCAGAGAGGGACAGCTGTTTGCAAAACTGTATAGGAACAAATCAGCAACGGATTCATAAAATGAAGTCATTTTTTGGCTTGAATACTTGCGGGTCAAGAGGAGAAGTGCCGAAAATCACCTGCAACATGAAGAAAACACTTGTTCAGTATAATTGGACGCTTCCGAAAACTTGTTTTTACTGAGTTCGACACAGTGAAAGCTAAAGCACCTAACCGCAGATAATCGGCCTGCCTAGCATATGGTTGATCCAACCAGCCGTTTGAGAAACCGAAATGTCATCAACACGCATTCTGACTGGTTCACGCAGCGGAATCCGTGACCATTCATAGAGCCATTCTTGCTTTCAGTCAGTTATAGATTGCTTGCTTAGAAGCTTCCACAACTAACAAAAGATATCCGATACGTGGGCTGTCGAATGGTTTTCAGCAACCTTGTGAGTAGTTTGCTTTATGAAAATATGCGATACGTCTTTCACATCTTCTAAACTTATTTCGCTCAATATGCTCTGGTAGACACCATATTTTTTTATCGACAAAAAGTTGCCACCTTGATGTGGCACCATGATGTGGCTGGAGAACTGCGGCTATCCTGAGAGCTACACCGGCTGGAATTCTGTTAAACAAGGTGCGACCATCCCAGGAAGGCCAAAGGGAAGCAGTCAGATGAGGAGCTCTTAACCCCAACGTACTACGGCCAACCGTAGTACGAGGCAGTTTGCAGGGACAGTCACATTGTCCTCTGAGATGGGAGTGTGAAGGCAGGCGATCAGCAAGTCCGTATCTGCGTGAGCAGCAATATTGTCCTAAAAGACGCGCAATCTGGTCACTCAACCGTGACCACATGCGGATTATCCAATACGGTTTATATGCAATTAAAAGTTGTCAAGAGAGTGATGCGGCTCCAAACACATTTGCTATGCCCGAGGAGTGAGACGTCTATGCCCCCTTCTCTGCGTCCTCCGGCTAGACCAGTCTACCGCATCCAACCGGACGAGACTATGAGGTCACTGGCTCCAGGTGGGGTTCCCCGGAGAAACCCTACTTTTCACTGCCTTGTGGGTGATTTCTGAATCAAAGCCTCAACATAATATACCAAAGAAACAACTTTTCCTCGGCCTGAGCGACTCTTCGTTCGCCGGTCCTCACCCACAACCCCCTACGCACCCATCAACTGGTTCAATGAGATCAGTCCATCTACCAGCCTCCTAACTATTGTTCCGCGTCTAAAACTTCGCCCAACAAAATAACTGAAATACCCGCTTAATTAACTCAAAAGGTTCGACCCATGCTGAAACTATAAATTTCCATCCTCACTGCCAAATTGGACAACAAGCATCACTTTCTGAAACGTTGCTCACCTTCCTGAAACATGCATATGATCGTGTATCTCAAGCGGCTTAAGACGAACTCAGATGTTTCACCATTCACTCTTCGGGCAACTGGTGATTCTGATGCGGTGGCTCGTGGCACGTATGGTGTCAAGGTTGAACACAGTTCAAGGACGGAAGTCGCTTTACTGGACTAGATCCCCGTAAACTGTGCTCTACGGTTGTTTGACTCAATTAAAATCAATGCAGATCGATGCAGTAGACGGTGTCCACCTGTCACATCAGCATACGCAGTTCAAACTACAGTTCTGAAGCCGAGATCTGTCACGACTGCGTCGGTTAGTAAGAAGGACAGCGAGGACGCCGAAGTTGGACGACTAAGCCCCGAAAAGCACAGTTAAGTGATAGATTTGGAGTTGGTGTTCGACTCGCAGATAATGGAAAGCAAATTCTTCAGTTGTGTGATGAACCTCTTTTGTTCCTGGCCAGTTCGAACTTTCAGCATAAACGCTCAAACCGAGTTATTTGGAGGCCACCAACCATAAATAAGTCATGAAATCAGATGGATCATGTGGATGTCAGTATTACTTACTCTCAGCATGACGCGTACCAAAAAGGAGAACATCCCTTCATCAACTTACATGAGTTTCAGTAGCTCAAGCGTATCGAGCTGACCTAGTTGGAAAGCTACTCGAGACGCTGATGATGATTATTTTGAAGTTAAAAGAGGCTATATTCCCCCTTAAGACTTGACGAGATGGACGCTGGACTTCCTCGATTTCAATGGATCTTATTGTTGCCAGAAAACCCATACTAGCAATCAGAACCGCAATGGCGCACGCAGATCTCTCAGACACTCGATAAGAGTCTGAAGAATATCAGAGAAAGCCAGTGGATTCGGACGGCTCAGGAAATGGAGAAGGCTTCCGCTGCGAGCAAAAGTAGCGCCCCATTTCGGCGAACCTGATTAACCGACCAAAAGAAAACAGCTGCCAGGGAAACTATTTGAAAAAAAGATGGCATGGTAATTCATTTACAGAAAAGTCGTCTTGAGCGACGTGTCGAACACTCTAGAAAACAGTTCAGCTGCTCTCCTTCAACATACTCTCCGGAAGAATTCATCAGGGCCAGAACTCATTTCTTCAATATAGAAAGGCGTTCGGCCTGAATTGTCTGTACCCTACGCTTTTCAAAGTTGGCGACGTACTGGTAAGCAATCTGACGACAATATTAAGAAAGATTTGGAACGACGCCTGAGTTCATCACTTCCAGTGGCGCAAGACGAGGCTACTGTCTCATCATTCCTTTTCGACTTTTTATTGTCGTGCTGCCTGAAAATTCTCTGCTTGACTCTAACACCTTCGGGGATCCAAATATTCTTCGGGCGTTCACAAACAGACAGAGTAAGCAGACGATATTATTCTCCTTGGTTATTGCAGTTTAGCAGACGTTGTACACACAGAAAGTGTAAAGTGCTGTTACAAGATTGGATGGAATCAATCTTTCAGCTGTAGCACCCCTTTCGGTGCCGTGCCACCCGAAGGAAGCACAAGGACTGGGATATTGTCAGGTTGCCCAAGCCTAGACAGAAGAAGGCGAGAGGCAGAAGTCGGGTTCGAACCACGGACCTTCCAGTCAGCACATCCGCCCTCTAACCACTTGAGTCATCTCGCCCCGGATGGGACCAAACCTGAACTTCATGCTTGCAGACCAGTCAACAAAGTAGATAAATCAACTTGCCTGGGTAGCTGCTTAAGTTAGAGTGGACTGACTGGAGATGAGGACAATTATCGAACCATAAAGGTTAGGACAAACTTAGTCAACCGTCGACACCTACTGCGCCGGCGTGATATCAGTTTGTCTGTCACGGGCAGAGTATCCGTAGCAATGCTGCGATTCATACTGCTTCATGGATGGGAAGTAAGGCCTATATGCACAGATAATGTACGAAAGCTAGTCAGCACTTGATCATCGGTGTCTCTGGAGCATTGGCGAGGTGTGACAGGAACACTGAGTCAGCGACATTGGGGCGCGCCAGGCGGTTGTAACAAGAGGGCCAGTGAGCTCGTACCTTAACCACTGTCGCAGTATTACCGATTTCAAGCAGATTTTCAGTAAGTTTTAAGCGATTGAGGCAAGCTGGGTGCATATACTTTGGTTAGACCATACAGAATTCGGTGTCATACATATCCATCGAAAACCTCCATCTGAAAACCTTTTGGGAACTTAATGTGAATTCCTGGAAAACCAATGACATGTGAGTACGCGGATTCAGGGTGACGTCATAGACCTTCTTATCGAACTCAAAGTAAACATCCATTTGAAGTCGTCCGTACAGACCCAAAGTCTTCCAGAGGAAATGTAAAAAATGGTGACTTCCATAGAGTAGCCGAGCCTATTGGAATCCCATGAACGAAAGCAGGTCCTCAAGGCTTGAATTCGCATTCCAAACAAACATCAAAATACATTCACTCATCAGTGAATGTTTACAGACGGAGTTTGCAGCAATAGTTTCTAAAACCAATTCACCGTTCACCCAGTTTTTTTACGTATGTACTAATTTTATACGTTCATGAAGAATTGCTAAGCGATAAAATGTCAGTCTATTGCTGCACACTAGGACATCTGTCATAGCTTTGTATACGCCCGATTAATGTCCAAAACCGTCTAGTGTGATGAAGTTTTGAATAGCCACGTGCGGCCTAATCAGAAGGGAAAATGCTGGATCGGATCAATGTATTTTCCCTTCTCATTCCCGAACCACGCCAAACTGCATTCGACCGGTCTTACGAGTACCAACATCACTACTATCAGTTCCATGCGGCACGATTACCACTGCCATGATTTGGCAGTACAGGCTACAGAGTGGGAGAACGGAACTGTTCAGGACACTGAACAGAAGTGATCCATGCTTTGCCACTTTGTTGCATAGTCCTTATGTATGTCAAGGCTAGATAGCTCCACTGTTTCTTGTAATCAATTGGTTTCGTCCGCCAAAAGAACTTTGACCGACCGGGTTATGGATAATGCTGTGATGACAAACTGGGCGACTTCATGAGAAAAGGATGAGTTCGCTTTTGTTCGGCTCTTCGTTTCGCTATGAATAACACCCAGATAAGGGACCATCAAATTAAACAATCATGCTTGGGTAGTTAAGAAAATACGAACCGGATAAAAACATGTCGACTATGTTTCAAAGGATGACGAAACCAAAAACTCGTCGAGCCGGTGAATAATACACCTTACTGTTCAGAAACAGAGACCAAAAACACTTTACTGGCATAAAAATAAGGCCGTACATATGGTATACCTTCTAACCGAGTTCGGTCTTTCAGACCACTCAGGCCAGTCCGGGTCTCTCACTGGACATCAAGTGGAAGAAATAGTCCATAAATGGACCAATCAAACTAGTGATCCGGAAAACAATCAGATGTGTTAGCATTAAGCTTGCTACTAGAGTCCGAGCAAGATTACGAAAAACCACAAGGACTTGTTACGTGCTGCTTGGGGGAGTGTCATCGACTAACCATAGGCTACAAGTACCATCTCTTACGGACGGGCCAGTGATAACAACTTTTGTCCCAAACAACTAAGAGACTGCACTGAATTTGACCTGGAAATATAGGGGGGAGTGGTGAAAATGAAGAAACCTACCTGAATGTAAGCTTCGTTCTCAGACTGGACTGCCCCTGCAGACCACTTCCTTCACGAATGAATAGGTAATTATAGTCCGCATGAATGTCCACTTTGTGAATATCAAAGATTTCATCGCCCAGATGAAGCGACAACGACCCGTCAGACCAACGCACGATGCGTGCGTTGGACTCATGAACCACGTCACCAGCATCGGTCTTTGCAACACGCCAGCGGATGGTGTTTTCGACCTGGAATACAGAAAAACAAGTGAACACAAAAGAACCACTCCCTAGCGAGATTGAATTCGTTTGTCCGGAGCCGTACTAAGCAGGGGATGGTAGATATTTAGAAAGTATAATCGCCAGTGACATTCACAGCATACAGAACATTGCGCAGAAGTGTCGTCCTTCTATGAATTACGGACTGCACCGACGGATATCCAATGGCAGAGAATTTACTCATTGCCATTTAGCTTTTACGATTTTGACTATTAGGCCATTTCGGTCTCTCTCAAACTAATCTAGTTCTCGTCCCCGCCCCCAAACCGGTGATACTAAACGACACTGTTGATGAGAGGTGTTAAGGGATTTTATGGGTCTTGATATGTGAATTTCGGGTATCAACTAAAAACACTCCAAGTGGACTTGAACGATCGGACTCCAACAATACCTTACGAAGAATGTTAATGCCTAGCTATCCACAAATGGGCTGGGGGGTGGAATTCTAGGAGCAGACTGTAACCGTTTACCTTCTGTAGCCCCCTAAACTCGTCAGTCGTGAGCGCTGGTCATCACGTGGCTGGTGTCAAGACGGTCGATCAAACTGTGGTTTGCTTGAAACATCATCTTTCAGCGTCCAGGCCGCGTACGAAGCGTCAAGCAGATCCTTTCTTGGTAAGTAAGTTGAACTAAAACTCAACTGGACTTTTCATAATTCTTTACATTTAATACCGCCAATACGTGTGAAAACTACTTCGTGTTTCACTCCATTCCGGAAAAAGCGGATGATGATACACTTCAGTCTTTGCTTCTATAAGTTACTTACAACTGAGGCAAGGCTGATCGACGATGAGTGACGAAAGCATACAGTATTGGGTTGACTGGACCATTCCTTGGTAAGTATTGGGCTCCAGAAAGTGCAAATTACGGTTCAGAAACTTGGAGACTAAATCAACCTGGGCACCCTGGTACACTACTACTCCGAGTAGGCTTTTAATACAAATCGGATGCAGCACCAAGAGTAGCCGTCAAGTGGTAGAGCCCATGTAGAGGACATGTCTATTTGACTAACCTTCAGTTTGAGTCTCGTCCGTCCCTCTTCGTCCAAAACTTCATCCTCATCAAGCTCATCTTCGTAGAAATTTGGATCGAAGGGGCGAGTTTCGACGGACAAAAAATTGGGCATCTTGACCAAATGCATTTCCCTATAGAAAGAGTTGGAGACGGGAACACAAAACCAGACTTACCAATCAAGAGATTCAAGGTGCTTCACAACAGACTGGTGGACGAATGACCAAGCGTGATAATCTACTTGTTTGCATACACCCACTTATATTTGAGCAAAGGGTTAACATTCGTCCTGACTAAACCATTTGTGAGTGTGACACAAGACCTCGACAAAGGTCACAAAACAATATACCAGGAGAATCCGACTAGTTATGATGGAAAGCAAAGCAGAACACATCGGGTTCAAAACGGTAAAGCATTTGAGTAAATGGTAGAATAGAGATTATTTGGGCCAGCATATACACGGATCCTACACCGGTCGCGTTATACACCATCTCCAGCAGCCCCGGATGAATTTGACATTTACATGGGCCCAGATAGCTCAGTAGTCAAGGCACGAATCTGGTAACCGGAAGCTCTGTGATTCGAACCTGACCTCTGCATCTCGAGTGCTTCTGTCCAGGCTTAGACAAACTGGCATTTTCTCGGTCGTTGTGGTTCCTTTGGGTGATATAACTCTGATTCCGTTAGGTAGAACTTACGAGGAACCAAATGTGGATCGCAACATCCCATGGTGAAAGTTGACCGATTATTTATGGAGGACTGTTTCCTGCCGAGGGTACCTCCAGAAGTGTACACTTTTGGTTGGACTGTTGAGGTGAGAGAGTAATTACACATTACTCTCAACTTCCACGGGGACTTTGACACAGGGTGTACCGAACACGCAGACAGACTGCCCGTATACCGACAGAGCAGCTTGGACCCAACCATCTTTCATGGCCCTGAGTGGCTATTCGAATAAAGCAGCAACTACATGCGTAGCTCAAGACTTCAACAGGGTGAGAACTAGACCAGAGAGAAGGGGGACCCCCACATACGGACTGCAGGCATGCAGAACAGTAAGAAATAACAATACCAGAGGATTCCGTGCGGCAGATGACATTGAAAAAAAACGGCGAAAATAAGTGCGCCATGACAAGTGACATATGTGTCTTCTACAGAGCCATAGAACCCGTTCGCCTTGTTGTATGCTCTTTCGAACAAGTGCTAAGTGACGCTACGGACGTTACTTGTATGAAATCCAGAAGAAACTGTACGTTAAATGAGCCGCCTTGTCCTTGCATGGAAGTCTGCTGCAGTGAACTGACCGTGATACGGACTGCGTTTTTTATTCGAATGGCAGATAACTTTTCGAGCACTGTTTTGTCACATAACGCTGAGGCTGACGCTCAAAGAGGCCTTTCTAGGGGAACACATCGGACCATACAGAACAAACAACCGGCTTCGGAATTCACTTGATCGATATTCACGGAAAACACTTGTTCGTGAGTGCTTTCACAGCACAACTATATACACAGCCAAGTCACAGAGTACTGACTACAGGTGCCAACTTAAAGCCAAACAGTGAATCATAGTTAAACTGATCTGGTTTTGAGTTATTGACTATCAGCCGCGCACCAAGAAGAATTGAGGGATCACAGTCAGCACAGCATGTGTCATAATGAAGCTGATTGTCACAAGAATACCGTTGTCTACAAGACTGAACCCAATTCTGGTGACTTTGTGTGATCCGTCGTACAGTCTGATGATTCGGACCCAAACTTGCAAAGTGCTGTTCTCAGCACCAGTGAGGAAAGATCTCCAAAATGACACAGTGACGTCACACAACACAGGGATTTCACACAATCCACGAGTGTTTACAGGTGCATTTGATCAAGAAGATCCACATGCAAGCAATGCTAGGGCACCGTCATTCCCCGTCACACTTTAACACTCAGCGACTATCTAAAATGGTGTCGCCGAGCGTAAACACCACGTCTAACCAACCAAGGTGATTTGCGTACGACCTTTTCCATGGAGGTTGTCTACATACTCGTAACAAAATCATTTCCATTTGAACAGAAAAACTGCGGTGAAATGTGACCATGTTCAGCTGATCTGTGAATCGGCTCTCCACCGAAACCATGATGTTGGTTTCAGAACCTTCTCGCAACAGTAGACCATTGACTGCAATCACATGGAGGAACTAGTTGTTTAAGCGAACAATCTGGGGAACACTACAGAATAGAGGCACAGAATATGCGGACCCTACGAATTTCTTCTGTGGTTATGAAGGATCTGATGATTAAATCTCGTATTCCAACAATGCTACAGTATTCGCCTAGAAATGTCTTCATCGTAGTAATCATCATCATCATCATCGATAGCAAGTTCCATGTATGCCCGGTGAAGAGTGGGAGATGGTGACACGGGTCCCCATAGAAAACGGTCAAGAAGAAGTCACCTACATCTTGCAACAGTGATGAGACAAACACAGATTGGCATCATATCGAGGTAAGATGCCATCAGCTGAATTAACCAGACGTCCACTGTGAACCTCATTCAACATGAACCCAGCATATAGCGACAGATACACTTTACTCAAGCACTCCAATTAGGAAGTGACGGCGTACCTGCCGATGAGACCCGTTACGTACCATGTCCTGAAGGTTTTCTGACCACGTGGAAGTGGAGTTACCTGGGTCCCAACTGGGAAGGCACGAAGATGCTACAACACTCTACAAGACGGTGGTCACCGGCATTTCACATTGCAAAGTCACGGCCTGTCCCACGCGAGCCTTTCGCCGACGGGAATTCGGAGTTGAAAACTATGCCCAACTTGTCAGGTGGTAGCTGGGTATGTGTACCCAACAACCCTAACTTGACGAGTTCCACCTGTTGTTCTGGTGATTCCGATTCATAACCAAATACCCGCTTATGCAAAAACATTATAACAAAACACAGTGCAGCTAGCTGACACTTACCATACTGCAAAAACAGATAAACAAACGTTTGGATCCGTCTTATGTCCTCGGATCAAAGGAATCGAGCTTCAAAACCATACAGTAAGATTGCACTTTAAATCGTCGTGTATACACGGCCCTTCAGCTTTAGCGAAACCCGTTTCGGACGGCACAAGTGACCCAAGTTCGAAAATGTTGTCGATCGAAAAAATTAAGACAATCTACTGATGATTCAGAGGATATTTGAAATCTTGAGGCAATGACTTGCACTTTGAAAATGCGGATTGACGATGGTCAAATAGCAGGGAAGTGTCGTCCGATTAGTCCAAGTCTACTCATCAATATCGACAAAAACGTACAACAGTGCTGGCTTGAATGCAGTACCACATCTGCTAGTTTTTCCCAGATGTAAGAATTCGATACCAATATCTTCGACACCTTGAAATGTACATTCCATGACAATGCCGCTGAAAGGAGAGTAGGAAAACAGCCCTGTCGAACCTCACTAGTTGGGAGGAAACTTCTGGACAGTTCAATGTTAACTTATACAACCGTTGACGCAGGGGTAGGGGGCACAGTATTTACAAAATTTAGGATTCGTTTTTGGTCAAGTACATATAGAAGGACTGAGCTATCTGTGGGATCAAAGGATCCGCTGATATCAAGGAAAACCGCGATTTTTGGCCGGAAGTATGCATTTTGTTGCTCAAACATCTGAAAAATGTAAGGATGTAATCAGTTCACCCGCACCCTGCTTGCTGCTCTCTGGTTTGTCTCATGCTGAGGTTTGGCATCGCAGAATAATAGAAACCAGTGGTGACGTTGTGACAAGTGTCCGGCTAGCAACTTTATGATAGGAACAGTCGTTTAGTCTACTTTTTACCAGAGTTGCTGTACAATATATCCAAAAATACTGTATCGAGTTCAGACTGTGGGTTAACTAGTTGTCCTAACGCCATTGAAGTGTGGATACTGAGGATGGACAGACACGTAAAATGAAGGAATTTAACATACTTGCCCAAATCAGCTCGGATCAGGGGGAAATCTACTGCGATTCTGGTTTCATCGGGTTCATGAGCGTCTTCGTCGTCCTCCTCCGCAGGCTCATTACCATCGCCATCACGAGGTTCATGATCGCCCTCTTCCTCATCTTCGTCCTCATTAGGCGCTTCATGGTGTTCCGCATCATTTTCATCATCACCTTCATCATCTGAGTCATCATTTAAAGGTCTAAGACGCGAACCAACTCTAGACGATGAAGTGGATGGAATATGTCGCGGTTGCCTGTCTTCTTCCTCCTCCACATCCTCATCTACGCTAGACTGCACTTCAGGCGATGCCGGCTGAACCTCAGGGCTAGCCGATCTATCAGAATGGGATTCCAGATCAGACTGGTCTGAGAGTTCTTCGTCAATTGGAGGAGCCGGCTTGGAGCTTGACCCATCCTCTTTCTGGACCAACAAAAAGAGAGCCACACATAGGTGCATAATCCCCTTGTACTTGCCTGCTACGGAACTTCAAGCGGCTGAATGTTGTCCATAAATCACGAGAATACCAGTTTACGCATCTGGCTCAACGGCAGACGATAATTAAATGTGAATAAGCGAAGATCTTTCGTCTTCGTAACAACAACTTTATCGAAACCCCAGTAAAAGACAAATAACAAGAGAGCTAACGCACAAACGGAGGATGCCATGACAACTTGTCGGGATTAGACAGGAAGCCGTTTGTCATAAACACCCATTAGTTTCGCAAGACGTTGAAAGATGACAATGGGAGTGAATATTAGGAGCTGAGCATTGGAGGTAACATCCAGCAGGTGACTCTAGGGTTCATTGGAAAAACTGAGGAAAAATGCTCTCTTATGGATGTGAAGACAAGAGGGTGTACATGTGCAGTGAAACCGATGGCTAAGGTGCGTTGGTTCCAATGGTTGAACGACTAGACCACGTCCGTCAGTATCGCGAACCACTGATGCGTCGCATCCTGGGGTCAGGGAAACGAGTGTTGCAAACGCGATTAAATCCAATGTTTAAGGCCACCATGCTGTCTTTTCAAGTCATCATCTAACCTACCTTTCACTGGGTGCGTGTAAGAATGGGAACGACACTTCAAAAAGTAGGTATACAGCCTTTCTTTATTCCTCCCCCTTCACCCCTGAATAGACCACTTTATCCAGGTCAAAAACCCTTGGCGATTTTGGACCCATTACTCCCAGTGAGAACAATCTTTCTAAGGAATCCAGAAATGCCATGTTTGCCTAATGTGAGCCGAAATCGAAGCATAATATTGCTGGTTACATCCAAGACGCACTCCTGTATACTGAACGCAACAACCACTGAGACGGTCCCGTGACTTGCGTGTAATGAGGCAGATTAGATGCACCATGGGATGTAAGTTCCATTCTATGGACAAGTACGGGTGTTATGAGCTCCATCACTTGACGAATGCTCAGTTATGTGGCTAGTACTCTAGCTGTCTAGGCAAGGCCCTTGGAGGTTGAGGTCAAGTAAAATGATGATCGTTCACTTCAGCCGAGAAAATATCACAAGACACTACTAAGTTAGCGCAAAGGTGTCAAGAAGAGTCAATATAACGCTTCAGGTAGCGTCAAGTCGATGAAACCGCAAATATTTTCAATCGCCATCTCCCAAGAGCATTTCCGAGCACCATTTGCTTTTCAGTTCGCGCTTCCCTTTGAATTGCACTATAAACGTAGCGTTAATTGCCCTGCCATCAAACGCCCCTTCAATACCCATGATACCAAGAAAAGACTAACCATACTGTAAAGATTTCTCGAAGGCAAATCCTGACAAATAATACGATGGCTCCAAATAAAAATTCACTTTTGGACCGATTGCCAATTTGGTTCTTCAGCATGTCTTCTTTAGCTGATTTCCAACTGATTATTCTGTTTTAGTCATGCCTCTTCGATCTGTTTTTGTGTGATTCTTTCGAGTATTTAAATAATTTCCTAAGCCCTACCAGGCATTTTCAGACTCTTCATCGTTCTCATATCTCACATCCTGCTGAAAATGGTTTTAATCGGCCACAGCTACATAACAGACACCAACTTTAAATCGAACACATACTTAACGTGTGATTATGATATGGTGCGGTCGGCCACAGTTTAGACAGGTCATTTTTTGCCGTCCAGAGATTTATGCGAGCAAGCCACGACATTAGTTAAGGTGTCAGATAAGGTAGACACCCATGCCACTAACAGTTTCCCAATTGTTAGGACGGTTAGTCAAGAGGCGCGTCCGTTGATTCATGTACACCCCGATCAATCCTTACCCGCGGCCATACGATGCGACTGTCGACGTCTTTTTCGATTCCCAAATGTACACACGGCTGAGCCCGACGAGAGCTCTTCACAAGAAACATAAACCAAGAACTTACATTTCGCGATTTGGTAGGTGAAGTACCTTGCCTCGGAGAGGCATGTCCCTCAGACTCTAGTCGTAATATTAGCGCGTCAAATGCATCACGGGCTTACCTGTGTCACTGCCAAAAACATCCTTCTGTGTTACAACGTTATGCGGTTCTTCTTCCTCCTCTTCGCTAAATGAATCGAACTCTGAAGAACCATCCCTGTCCTCTGCCTCTTGATTTTCTAAAAAGCCAATATCAATATGATGAGCTTCTAAACACACATACCGCCCCTTTCACCACCAGAGGCATTATCTGCCTCGTCCTCACTTCCGTCAAATTCCATCAATTTGAAACCAGTGTCTGGTGCAGCAGCAAGAACGCTGAAAACGCAAACAAAAATAAATTACACAGGCCACGAAAATTTGAAAACGGAGTCTGAAACATAAAGTACTTCCACCAAGCACAATAAACCTGAAAGTCATATCATTGGTGGTCTCACAGAACATGGCATCTAGCCTTCAAGCTAGATCCGTGAATATCAAAAGGAACTTCACACGGGTTGATGGAATCTTAGGACCCTGCTTAGCGTTGCCGACCGATCCATTGGCACGCAAGCTCTGCGAACTACTGCTCAGATATAGCTTGCCACCCCAAGGGTCGCCATGCCGATCGTGGAAGCTAATTTATCAGTATCGTCGGAAGGGAACCCCTTCCACTGGTCCTACTAAAATGGACCGCAGGATTATCCTGGTCTGTGTGAAGCCGCACTTGCTTCGAAAGTCTCAACAGTGACATCATTCCATGGGCCCCAAAATGATCGAGGCTCAAAAACACACGCTCCAATATCTCGATAATCCCGTATATGCACCAATTCTCCCTGTTGAGTCCAATGCTGAAGGTAGTCATTACGAGCAATAGCAGACGCCGCCACCCGAATGCACAGACATGCTCTTCTTGGGGCGACTAACAACCGGAATGTTTGCACCGACGTGCTGTCGCCAGGCCCACCACACCATTGGCAAATCTGGTGTCGGTAAGCGTTGTGAGAACGGTAAACGCCTGACAAAATTAGTGGTCAATAGGATGTGTTTGCGACAAATGCCCAGGACACTTTATTTTGTGCTCGCGAAACTAAAGAACAGTCAATCATGCTGGTATCCAACCGATTTGTGCGTCTTCTATCGGGGGCTGTCCGTTCTACTGAGGAGCTGAGCCGAATTTGGTGACAGTGGTGGAGCAGTTTCATTCCCATCCACGTGATACCAAACCGCATAAAAGAGTGGGTCAGGGGCATTGCTTCATTATAACATCAAAACACTGAGGGACACGCGATGACGATGTGCACTGGCGAGTGCAACTGAAACCAATATCACAGCCTTGGGGCGCCTTTTCCGGCTGAGTCGAAGCTCGAACCGGCTCCCGAAGCTCGAACCACACGATACAACAGGATAGCTTGTCACGGACTCTGATGACAAAATAATCAACCAGACAGAGCGCTTCGCTCAATTTCCAAATTATTTTTCAGACAGCTCCATCCATGAGGAGCGCATTGAAAACAAATGCCACCAGAAAGTGAGATAGTGCGTCCCGCCCAAAAACATAGACAGGTGATCCGGAATAACTGAACTTTAAGTCGATTAGACGGCACGTCTGAAAATGACTTCATTGCTGCTCGCGCATATTTGTCAACAATTTTCCTCAGCTATTTCATTCTCAACTGGTTACATTTTCTGCCCACAATAAACCATTGCCAAATTGCACTTCTTTATCACCATGTACCCACGTATCCATAGATGTCAGTGATACTACGTCAGGCTGTACTCCACTTCATCTGTCGACGAAACCCAACAAGCGTGAGCAAAATAGTTGTTCATTAAATGTCAAACACATGACGCCAATGTCACGCGTGATTGGGTTGGTGGGATTTGAAGTGTATTGGTTTGAAGTATGTCTAACTCATGACTTAGTGCTGGCCTACCTTGAGGTGCCTACACTTCCGTAAACTTATTCAGGCAATCCAGATAGACACCTTTTAGTGCTGTTCCTAAGAAAGCTATTTATGGATTTATTAATGCAAAATGGCTGAGAGAAAAGCAAACGAGCTCTTTTCACTCCAACTACCGTCTCTAAGCATTCGAAAAACTTTTCCGAACATCAAGAGCTTATTCGAACATTGCCCTGTAGAGTCATGAAAACTGGAACGCACCGTTTCTAAGGCGGACGACTGACACAAGCCTAACTTACAACAAAAAACCTAATCCTGAGCACTTGAGTAATCTGATGTAGTTGTGGAAGAACTGGTCCCTAAATGCACATTAGTCTAACCGACCGCGGCTCCAGAGTGCACTGCCAACTCAACCATCGCGGATTCAGTGACTACCAGGGACAATGACACTTTCGTTGAGGAATGCCAGGTGAGCATAAAACAATCTACATACGTGCCGCGACTTATGGCCGGTAATCGAAACTGATGCAGCTGGAACCAATGTGCCTATGGTACACGGTTTATTGCTGATAAATTGAAAAAAATAATTGCAGTAAATAAAATTCACACAAATTTCCAGGTGTCTTGGGTGTGCTGTGAAGGAAGGTGCAGAGCAATAAACTGGACGATCAGCGACAAACATTGACCTCGATGACCGATACCATTTTGCATGTTCCACAACCGCTGATCAGTAAACCCATGTGAAGGTAGTCTCTGTGTTCACACATCAAGAGAAGAATAATCATAGGCAACCCTTTTTCTGATAGTGCGGAATCACGGACCTCCAGCTACATTCCGTCAGAAGCGATCATTCTAAATGAGGATACAGTCGTCACCTGTAGCCCCAAGGGCCGAAGCCATGAAGCCGACAACGCTGCACCCGAAAATCCGACGTGCAGGTTGGTCACACTCATCGCGGATGAGCAGGGAGTCAGTGTAAACACAGAGACGAACCGAAGCGAATAAGCCAAGAGAACGTATCCGAATCGGGGAGTTGTTCGCGGAATCGATGGTGTATTTGTTTGTGAGAAAGGGCCCCTTCGGGTTGCCACCAAATGCGCTATCTCTTGGTGATTCGATGCCGCAGCCAAGCGGTTTGTCAGGATCCCAGAGAGGTAGGTTGATGGCCAAACCATGTCCGAAATCCCGAAGAAATAAACGAATGCGACACCATTGCAAATCTTCGAGCAATATCTAAACTCAAAGACCAATATGTCGTATTCCACGCGATGCAAGCAAAAAACACCGGAAATTTATCCCACACAGACAGAAAACGGGCGATGAAAACCTGACTGCAAGTGGGCGAAAATCGCCCCACAAAGTGTTGGGCAGGAATCCACGCGGACGCTTCGAACTATGGAATTGGCGCAGTGATTTCA